CCCCTGATACAGATATGTAGCTGAAAGATTTCCCATGATTCTGATTGTATTCTGGTTTTCTTCTCCAAAACGCCTCTCAGATACATCTAGAACATGTATTTGTAGTTTCTCTGCTTCAGCATATCTACCCAGAGCAGTATATATGCTGGCAAGATGTACTGCACAGTGCAATGTATGAAAATGTTCTCTTCCCAGAGCACTACTTCTTAGATCCAAAGCTTGCTGCAGCAGCTTCAATGCCTCACTTGGATATCCTTGCTCTAATAAGAGCTGGCCAAATCTTTCATATGCATCATCAAAGTAACTGTCATCTGCTTCTTGGCTTAAAGTTGTTCTATACTGCATGTTTTCTCTCACGTGCATGACCAAGGCCCTCCTGTACTCATATGGCTTCTGGTCAAGATCACCATACAAAGAATCTGACATAGCAGCATATGCCATAATGCTATATTTTTTTCTCTCATCCAAAGACATTCTGTCCTTGCCCCAAGCATGAATCAGTGGATGCACACTATAAAGACCATCAGATGAGCCCAATCTGATCAGACCAAATGACAGTAATACTCGAATGCCTTCTTCAAAGATGAAATCATCCCAAGTGCCTGCCTCATTGACAGGAAGCAGTGTGCAGTCTAGCATGGAACTCACAATTGGCAAGGAGGGTGCCTTGTGATGATGGTGGCTTTTGTGTATAGCAGCATAAGAAAATATATCCTTCATAATACCATCATAGTGAAAGAACACAAACAAGCCCAAAATAAGCATCGCACTCTTAGCTGCCTTGGCCTTATCAAGATCATCACACTCAGCTCTACTCTGAATTTCAACATATGATAATTCCCAAGTTCCATAGACAGTCCTATCATATTTGGAAGCCCCTTTGAATTCTGGATGAGATAATAGAGTCTCTCGGTGTTGGTAGTATTTAGCAAGATAATCTTTGATATTTGTAGCCTGAGAAGAAATGTAGGCACCAGCTTGATCAATAGCAAGAGGCATATAACAAAGGCTTTTCACAATCTCAGAAGCTTGAGCTCTTAGCTCCGATTTGGAGGTATCTAGGCAAGCAGCCTTTAATAACAGAAGGATGGCATCATCCTCTTCCATCTCCCCCACCTCATAAGAACTCTCAGGGGATGTCAGACGCTGCATAGTGGAATTGCGACTAGTTATCAGAATATTCCCTCCTAGCCCAGGTGGAAAATAGCCCTCAAGCTCCTCTGGTCTCAGAGTATCAGCATTATCAAAGACAATCACATAGTTATCTCTCAGAGAGCCAATCCATGAGAGAGCAGATTCAGGTGACCCATCCAGTAATTGGGTCTGAGCCACAGAAAGATTGCAAATACCCTTCAACCCCTGTATAATGGAACCAGCAGAAAATGCATCAATCCAGAAAACATGGGAAAATCTGAGCAGTCAAAGATTAGCCAAGTTGATCTGGTTGTTCAAGTTTGAGGTTCTTACTTGTCAGACATGTCCTCAATGAACCTTAGGCAAATCTGACTCTTTCCGATACCCCCCATTCCATATAACAAAAAGTACTTCCTGCTGCGAAGTTGTTGCTTGTCGGAACCCCTCATAAAATGATCCTGCAGTTTGGCGAGGATGGCTGTCCGCCCTGTGAACCGCGGGCTCGAGTTTGGCATCAGCGGAACGGCTGCGCCAGACGTCACTCTACGGCTCAAGTGCACGTTGTAGGTAATCTGCGTAAGGTACACATCATTCAGCGTGCGCGGCATCAATGAGAGAAGGACTTCACATACAGTTTCAGCTACGTTGACGTCCCCACTGACAACAACGTTCTGAGCGCCGGACAAAAAATTGACTCCACTCATGTTAGGAGGAGGAAGGGTGTTCTCTGAAGGAGGGAAGGACATGGGGCGAAAGAAAGAAGCAACCAGCGCTGAACGACAGGAGACCCCCAATTCTGCGAGCGGAAGTTTCCGATGCTGTGGGCACCTGACAGTTTGAGGTGCAGATAATAGCCCTCCGCATACGGACAATTGCACAGGCGACGGGCGTTTAGGCATCGCCTCAACACCGCCTTCGCAATATCATGAAGATGTGTCGTTGCATGCGCTGCAGACATTATCTCTGAGGACGACGAACATAAGTACGAAGACGAATGTCTAGAGCACTACAGACATCACCTGCGACATGCAACTCGATCCATCCGTCTAAAAAGCTGCTTCCTACATCTCGCCCTTTCCATCCATCTTGGATCTCTTCTCCCGCGCCACGATCGGTTCCTCTTCTTTCAGGCACGACCTTCCCCGGCGGCCCCAGCTTCCTCCGTCTTCACATCTTGGCTTTTCCTCTTTCTCCTGGACCCATCCCGCTCATCTCACGTTTATTGTCCTCCTTTAAGTAGCGGTCGCATGTACCTTCTCATGAGTATTCCTTCAGCGGCGACGAAAATCCGATTGGTTGGGTCCCGCACTCTTGTATATAGTTCGTGCAAAGATGTCTTGAGGCAAACTTGATTAAACGCGGAAACTCGCATAGCTGAAATCAGCTTACATCTACTCCCCACTGGCATCCAAATTTCCTACCCATGGAAGGGCCACTCTGGCGGTCTCTTCTCAGAAGAATGAGAACAATATTTGCCTTTAGTGAAGTTGCAGGTTCTGGAGATGATCAATGTCGTGAGCTGGTTTAAGCTTTTGGGTTCACTTGGGACGGACATGTAACCAGTAGATCGGACCATGCGTGGTTGAGTATCCGTTCGCCCTAATCAACAGAGCCTTCCACCTGGTCACGGTATGAAGTCCTCATCAGCTACAGCCTACAGGTACGCCCGATTCAACGGAATCGAACCCCGAGTAGAGGGAGACGCCAGACAATCGGTCACGAGGGATCTGGCCAGCTGGGACGAGGGGGCTAGATCACAGAAGTAAAGCGTTCGACATGGGCGTGAGATGAAAAGGCAGGCGTGATGCGAGATGAGCTGAAGCTATGAGAGACACCAGAGAAATTCAGTCTCTGAGGCGCAAGCTGATTTCCCTTCGTTCTCGTCTGATGAAAAGGCCTTTAAAAAGTTTCAAGTTGGATATAAGGCCACAGTCCAACTTGAAGTCCTCGTCAGATGCAGGTATAATGACAGAAGAATTGTCAGATCAATTTCTGATAATGCTGCGATTGAATTTTAAATTTTACACCTCCTATGCGAGAAGAGCATCATATGTCAGGTGGTCTTCGAGAGCTTTGTCGCTGACTAAGCGAGTGCAAGCGCTCTCAAGCTCGTTGACCAGGACCACGACGATCAGTTTCATGCATCTTCTTCTTGAACTCACGAAGGGAGTCGAGGAGTCGCCAATGTTTTCACTGTTTGCAATTCATCTCTGTGGATGAGTTTCTTATTGACGAAACGAAGCAGATGGGCGTGCCTAGCATAGTTTCTATTATCGTCTTCAACACGGATCGGGTCTTTCCACAGGAGTTTCCAAGCTCGAACCTTGAACGTTGACGCCTGCCAGGGATCACCGGATCCTTCGTGTCCACTTGCACCCTTTGATTTCGAGCTTATCCCTCTAGAAGCTTTTACAGGAGTGTACTCTACTCAACTTCGGATTTCTCTAGCCTCTGACCGCCCAGTTTCTGGCCTTTTACTGGTGTTCTTCTGACAGTTATGATTGGGAAATGCAAAAGCCGCCGCAGCTCGTGTTCTTTTTGGTTACGACACCTCATGATGAACCATCCGTCCCCAGATTCAAATAATGTTGGGACGTAATGCTTTTGCATCTCAGTGTGTGTCCGCGAACGGTATACTATGATCAAGTTTTGTTGGCGATACCTGTTGAGCTCGGCTTCAGTCAATACATCAGTGTGGTTGGCTTAAATATGTCTATTTCAGGATAAGAATCGACATGTGTTTTGGCCAATCTGCTGGGTGTATTGAATAGCCGATTCTTTACTAGTATCAGGGGATAGGTTTTAAGATCCAAAGGACCATACCATTCTCCTCCGCTCCCTCCACCTACGGTGATGGCGATTCCGCTTCTGTTGACAAGGCCGGTATGGGCAAAGGGTTATTCTCGAATAGCCCCAGGCTTGAATTCGCGCATCCTTCATGATTTCTTATCCACCCTCGGATGTACTATGTTTTCAGTTAGTTGGCTCATTATCCATAATAATGCTCATACTTAAACATGATTGTGTCATAGTTTTAAGTTCACTTCCTTCCCGCGGCCTTTCATTCAAAAACTAAAATATACGCGCTGGCTCAAATCACGAGAATAAGCCACTCGTTTTCCCACCTCATTTTGCGAGGAGGAGGCTCAAACTTAATGAAATTACTCAACGTACTAAGTGTAACGATGAGATGCCTTGGCCGCTAGATGCTACATATTTATGTGCCGCGGTGCTTCAGGTTAAGGAAACCGTGGCCAAGTATCGTGACTCTGAGGATTGTGTCTCGTGAAGCATCCTCGTGATGACTGCCGCATTCTGGGAATGAACGAAGTAAGCCGTGTCATGTACACCAAGTTACTATCAGGTATTGAGACTGCTTTTGGCAGTATAAGATAATACATCTCAGCATTGGCTTCCCGATATTTGTCGCGAGTCCCAATAATCGGGCAGAAATCTCTTTTTTTTCTTTGGAAGCGCTGGTCGGGCTTTCACGCGCAGAGTACCCTAATGCCTTTATTTTGAGTTGTCAGTGCCACGCCACCTCAAATTCTGGCTAAGTATCTTCCCAGTCCCCAATTGATTATGGCACTTTCCGACGACGAATGACAAAACGTGGGCGACTTGGGGCTGAACTCCGTCTACTCCTTCCGAACATTATCCTCAGTATGAACCCAAATTATACATCAAAATCAGGGTCGTCATGTAGGTTCCCTGGCAATGAACTGGAGGGTCCTCTACTTTTTCGACCGATATAATTTTTGCGGGCAAGGGAAGGGCATAAAACTCACGGCAATTGCTCTCACCAAAGGCAGGACAAGTTCACTCCTATACCCTTTACTCTCTATATCTTGCATACATATATCTCCATGTCTTCTGCTCGTGCCGACCTAGAAGTGATTTCGACCCTCCAAGAGTACCATCAAGCAATCATCTCAGCAACCTGGATGATCACTCTATCCCTCATCCCCCAAGACCTAGTGCGAGCTGGAGCCATACTCCTCGGCTTTCTGATATATCTACAGACCTACCGCCCACGAATCCTCATGAAAACACTTCAACTTCGACTCTCATCCTTGGAGGAAAAATTGCAGGATGCCGTCGATAGCGGAATTATGCGTCAATCGGATGCAAGTTTCACTAATCAGTTTGTGAGGGACATGGGGAGGTGAGTTCTTGATGTTGTATCATGAAATAAAATACTTACGCTGTCAAAAATATACGCCCTTTAGAATCCGCTACAGGACCTTTGAGCTCTACGAGAGAACGCTCATGACGTCCGGCGGAATTTTTCAGGAGATAAAGGCCGTTTGCGACGGCCTGTCACTCAAGATCAATGAGTGCATTCGGGATGTTGATGCCCTAGAAAGGGACCTCGAAGTATGTTCTTCCCAGCCATTGGTCTCCCCGATTTTACATGATGCGCAGATCAACCGCGCAAAAATTCTAAAAAATCAGTATCACTTGTGGAGTGACAGGCCGAACTGAATACATACTTTACTTTCCATTATTCATCACTGTCTCGCTGACTCCTCCTTATCGCTGTGTTGTCTTCGCTTTCCTCCTGTTTTCGATCTTCTGTTCCTGGCGCTAGATTTTAGTCATCTGCATCTTCTACATTTTTGCACGGTCAGGGCGTTCTGCCCTCTTTTTTGATTGGCTTCAGCGAGTGAAATGTTGTAGATGAATGGATATTGCGAAATTCAAAGCACCATGATGTGTGATAGTACACGGTGCCACTTTCCAACGCTTCAAGCCATGTTGAACGGCTTCAGTATTTTTTTCTTGCACAAGCCACGAAACCCTTCTCAATCGCCTCTCATCCCCCAAAAAGTGACGGTTTATTGCCCAGTCCTCATTCCCGTCCCTTAGCCCTGCACACCCAAAATCAGTAGGAGATGGGTTATTTCTGTCCAAGATCAACCTCACAATGTGCTTGCGTCGCCTACAATTGAGGTGGCGAAGAGACTGGTTCTTCCAATTTTCTAACAAGACATGCATGATCCATGGGTACTATTCACGTTTAAAATTGGGTGGAGACCGGCTAAAGGTGCCCGTAGTTGGCGGGGGATTTGGAGAGATAGCGATGTTGTAGCGATGTTTCATCTGTGCCCAATCTGTGCCAGTGCAATATGATATGAGAGTTAGCTACGTAGGCTTAACGGCCTTTCGGTGACGACATTGTAGAAACTAAGGCGAAGCTGGAAGTTGAGAAAAAACAAAAATAAAGCTTGGGAGGGCGCACCGTCAGTCGTTTTCAACTTGAAGGCATCATGATCTAATGTTTGAAATTCTCGGGATCCGAAGTCGGCCGCTCAACTCAGAGTCAAAAAGACGGTCTTGATTATTTAAACGGGAGAATTCAAACGCTAGCGAGCCTCGCGAGTCAGATTGTCGACTAGCATTGCAATACCGTTGAACTGCAGCGAAGTTGCTTGTTGTGACAACAAGCAACTTCGCTGCAGTTCAATGACGCCAAGAACAGGACTGTTTGGGGTTGTTTGTTTTTGAGCACTTTCCCTACACTGCCACACTGATTTTAATTTTTTGATAACAGCCCTCGATTCGGTGCTCTGGGCCACGGAGGAGTCCCGAGCTTTACGTGTTTCCTTTTTATGTGCAGGTTGTTGAGTCCTTACGTGTAGTGTTACTTAGGCTGCCACCCTCGTCCACGAATGAACGACGTGTCCCTACCCCGATTCAAAAGGCAAGAGGCGAGCTTTACCATTATGCTGCGGCTGGCTGTTCTGATTCCCGACTTGTTACACGTCCGCAATCGAATTGGCAGAGCTGCAATGTATGGGGGCGAACGTGTCTTCGAATACGAACCTGGCTTTACTTTGGTTCCTGCACCCCTCATCCTCGTCTTTCAGGGTGTTCTGCATCAGGAAATCGGTTGAGACTTATGTAGGTCTATAGAGCCTATGTAGGAACTATAGCTTCATAGGCTCCCCCCCGATATATAGATTACATAGGTCAATGAGTACCCTATGTAGGCTGGTGGTAGGTTGCCATAGGTACTGTATCTCAACCCCCTTCTACCGAAAATGTAGTTTCACCTCTTGCTGAGGTGCTTACTCTACCATCACTTTTTACAATGAACTGTTTCAATTTCGGAGGTGATCAGTCTTGAGACTTTCACGACATGGGTGAGGCGAACTTAGTGAATAAATATTGCATCTTAGGGGAATTGAACTCAGAGTCTTATGGAGAGGCCTATACAAGTCATCGCGCAAGCAATATAACAGTTAGTCTATTCGAGCATTTGTGACATGTGGCTGTTTGCACTATACATACCACCAGTGCTGGGAAAACTTTTGTTCACCCCCACTGCGAGTAGTGAGAAGATATGTCTGATAAATTGTGGCCGAGGGTAGCTTGTATCATATATACTGGTATTGTGATCATAATTTCCCTCATACCCCATTGACTGTGATATCATGTCTTCATCGTTCCAGATTTTTGATGGGGTGAGATTTATTCTGATAGTCTACTGTAGGCTCAAATTATCTTTTGTACCTACCATGGTCTACAGAGGTAATGATAAACCTATGTTGACCTACCGAGCCTATGGAGACTATGTAAATATGGCCAAACTACAGCCCAAAACCATTTTCCTGATGTGATTGTCAGCTCGTTGCCGACACCCAAGAGAAAGCACGATGGTCACTGTCAACTTGATCTCCTGCCATGTTTGGGTCGTTGGCTCGTACTTTTATTCAACTTGTTCTGGAGCCATCTGGGGTTCAATGACCTTCGCTTTCGGGTTTGGATAGTGGCTGGGCATTGGATCAAGGATACAGATACAACGAGTCATACTGATGGAGACGGCCTCCAACGGAAATAACATTCCGTCAATTCTTCCCCTCCGAAAGCCGGCGTGATATGTCGGATGCTTGCAACGAAATCATTAGTACAGATTTGGAGACGCCGCGATGTGTTCTGAAGCTGCACCATCCCAATATTGCGAATTTGCTCTCGTTCCGAGTTCAGGATTATTTCCCTCCATGTGGAACTTCGACGCGACTTTGATATTTTCTGGAGTCATACCTCCCTCAGGTTGACTCGCAATTTCGTCGACAGTGGGCGACTCATGCTGTTAGAAAGGTCGAACGCGTATCTTAAATAACGTTAGTAGGGCCTTTCAATATTCCAGAATGCAAATCAAAGTGGTTTCCTGCGCTGCTGGTGTATACCTCAGCGCCGTCCTCACCCTCAGGCTCGCCTCGCATTGCCCCCTTCTGAATAACCCGAGAAAGTGGTTGCGATTGGCTCCTATTCGTCGGCCACCGGATAATCAATCCGTAGTTTGGAGAGAGAAGCTTTGGGAGTAATTTCAGATGCTCGAAACCATGGAATAAGACGGGGGTTGTGAGGGAATTCAATATACTTAGTGAAGGTGCATCATGATGAAAGTTACTTGGTTGCACTTGCCTGCCAGGGTTAACATTGAATTCCCCTATATACGCTGCCCCCTATACGCAAACCACGTGCCATGCATCCATCAATGACGTCTTTGAATCGAGCACGCGACCTCCCAACTAGCATGCATCGAGCGACCATCATGACTTCCACCACCGCAAAAACGACGCCCTCCCAAGCCCAACCCTCCCTCCGCAGAAGAATGCACAGACACATGCTCGACCGCGCGCCCTCCCTATCCAGCTTGAACTCGCTCGCTTCAGCTGAGCTCAAGATCTTGCCCGAGATCACTCACCGAGGGAAAGACGGGGGGGAGGAACAGGAGGGCGAAGATGGGAGCCCTGAAACGGATTATGAGAGTCGGACGTCGAGTGATGAGGAGGATGAGGATGAGGATGAGACGCCTCCTCAAGATACTGTCTTTCCAGAGAAGGGGAAGGAGAAGTTGAGCCCGAGCCCAGGTCGACGCCAACGCCCCAAGATCGACACCTTGGGACTCGGCGCGCTTCCAAGCCCCCCGCGAATGAGGCATTCCAGCTCAAGCTCAAGCTCGACGATGTCGCCTGGCTCACGCGCGTGGTATGAATTCGACCTTGCTGTTGTCGTCGCCCTCGTTTCGCCCATCGGGAATTGGCTCACGGGGGGAGATCATATCAAGAACCTTCTCCTTATCGTTTTGCTCATTTTCTATTTACACCAGATTATCGAAAGTACGTCCCTTTCTTCTCTTCTCCGCCCAAACGTAACTGACGCACACCTCCCATAAAGTCCCATGGGACCTCTATCAAAAATCCCGCCCCCGCCGTCGATCCCCCTCCCTTCCTCCCCTCCCAGAATCCACGGAACCGCCCTCCTACAGAACGTACGCAGCATCCGAACTGCGCTCATTCGAACTCTCTCTCCTCTTCCTAACCTTCCTCTCCCCCTTCCTCGGCGCTCTCTTATTACGCTACGCAACAGCCGCCGTCCTCGGCCCTCAATCCGTCTCATGGTTCAGCACAGGTCTGTTCGTATTGGCAACGGGCATGAGACCATGGTCACACCTCGTCGAAAGGATACGCACGCGTACGGCCGAGTTGCACGATTTGGTGCATTACCCTACACCGCACTCTTCCTCTGCCGCACACAGCGATTTAGAGAGACGGGTTCTTGAGCTAGAGAGGAAATTGGGAAAGATGGGGAGGAGGGTTGGTGGGGTTGTCGATGAGGTATATGAGTATGTGGACGAAGCTGTTGATGGGGTACAGCATTCGCTGAAGAAGCAGGAGGGGAGGTGGGAGAAGTGGGATGGGAGGGTTAGGGAGGTTGAGGAGAAGTTGAACAAGGCCCCGGAGCGAGGGCATGGCAAGCTCAGTTTGGGTTTGGATGGGGCGTATGCGCATTCGTTGCTTGCTTATGTGCTCCCGCAGTGGCTTTTGGATTTTGATGCGCCGTATTATACGAGGGGGCTGTACTATGGGCCTTCTTTGTACTCCCCCACCACCACATCCACGATCGCGTCGAGGCACCACCATCATCATCAGCAGCATTATCAGCACCCCTCATTCCCTTCGTCTCCGTCGACTCCATTGGAGACTATCGTTGAGGAAGACGATTCGACGACTCTGAATGGGAATGCGAATGGGAAGTGTCAAGAGAAAGAGAAATATCGGTATCCGTTATTGGCGCGCCCGATGTGGATTACGTCGAGCATTATTATGCGGGTGGGCTATCTTTTGATGGCGCCGTTGAGGGCGGTTGTTAGGATGGTTTTGAGGAGGTATTGAGGGTTTCCCGGTGTTGGAGCCCGCTGGAATGGTTTCCTTGCACACACACATCGGTCCTCTAACTCTCGCCCGCCTTCTCAAAATCGTCCGCGCCCATCACCTCTTTTCGCGTACTCAAAGCCCGCTGCAAGTATATCCCGTCCGTTTCTCCTTGGGCAAGACAAGACCAAGATCCAGATTCAAACACGTATATCCAACCCACGACTCGCAACAAAATCGTTCATGCTTATCATTATATTCCAGTCAAACGTTTCTTCCTCCGCTCCCTGCTGCCCGTTCTCCGATAATTGCTTCTTGGTAAATCGATCCCCGAAGAACAGACCCCCTCCTTGTTACCCAACCAATCGCAAAGAACAGGTTCTTTTTAGTGATCCTAAATAATCGATCCCCGTCAATCCGCCGGAGCTGCTACCATTCCCGGAGAATCGGTTCCTGTTATGGTTTCCTGCTACCCTGTTACCTCCTCAAACAACCGCTCTTTGCTCCTACCACCCCGCTGCCACTACTTTCTACCCTGTTCCCCAGATACCGTCTCCCCTTCTTGCTGATATCGTCTTCCCTGCTTGCTGATATCCAGATCGATCGTCCGCTCGTCTTTGATAATCCCGCATCCCGTCCATTCCGCGCCCTACATACCTGTCCCACTCATTTTCTGCAAACTGTATTCCGTACCCCGCGGGTATCAGTGATTCCGCACCCCGTATCACAGTCTGCACAGTCATTCCGAACACCACACGCTCCCCGCATGCCCTGTACACCCGTCTCTGTCATTGTACGCATACACGCACGTCAATTCTTTTTCTCCTGCTGTTCGCTGAACTGTCTTACACTTCCTTTCTCTGTATACACTGTTGTATTCCATATCGATTTTGAAACTTTTCGTTTCGGCGTCAGTTCAAACACACATGGATCATTCAAGTTGCAAGGACTTGTGGTGGTGGACAAACTATAGCACTACTACCACCCCCACACCCCGCGCATCAAGTTTAATTCCACATCTGAGTAAAGTTCCATGTAACTTTTTATCGATATCTATCCCTCACTGTCAATGATTTATTAGGAAAGGAAAGCACCACGCAGCCTTGAACGTGAAATAAATTCGCGTTCTCGCAACTGAGAAGAACTTTGGTCATGTTGAATACTTAATCAATCCCTCCGCCGCTGAAACGATTGCAAGCTATGACTATTTCAATAGTATCGAGTCCTTCACCGGGTGTTTTACAAAAGCTTGAGAGATACGCATGTATTGAAAGACCTGTTCTTTCGAAAAAAAAAAAAAAAAAAAAAAAGAAAAAGAGAAAAAAAGAAAAACGCAAGCGAACCACATCGAAACGTATCCCTCCGTCCCTCACTTTGATAAAGGAGTAAGTATTCAACTTAGTTACCAGGGAGTCATTAACGATCTACGTCAATGACGATCCCTCTGCATCAGTGCTTCCAAAAATGTCCCCATGGTCACCTATCAGCGCACCCCACTCCCTTAACTCCGGAAGCAAGTGCTCTAAAGACCAAGAGCGATTGGGATCGTCAACCGGGCAATCAAGAAGTCGTTCGTACAATGACATTGCTTCAGTGAGATCACGTAAGAGGTTGCCTTCGTTGAACCGAATTATGAGGGCAATAGCAAGGTTTCTGAGTAAACTGGAATCTTGTGGATGATGTGCTGGCAGAAGAAGAAGTGCCTCTTGGTGCAAGGAAATCGCTTCATCAAGGTTGTTTGAAATGCCCTGCTGTTCAAAACGAGCTTGAAGGGCATTGGCAAGGTTATTGAGTGATGAGAAGTGATCTGGATGAGGTGCTGGACAAAGAAGAAGTGCCCCTTGGTGCAAGGAAATTGCTTTGTCAAGGTCGTTTGAAGTGCCCCACTGTTCAAAACGATTTCGAAGGGCATTGGCAAGGTTATTGAGTGATGAGAAGCGATCTGGATGAGGTGCTGGTCGAAGAAGAAGTGCCTCTTGGTGCAAGGAAATTGTGTCATCAAGGTCATTTGAAGCACCCCGCTGTTCAAAACGAGTTTGAAGGGCATTGGCAAGGTTATTGAGTGACATGGAGTGATCTGGATGAGGTGCCGGCCGAAGAAGAAGTGCCTCTTGGTGCAAGGAAATTGTGTCATCAAGGTCATTTGAAGCACCCCACTGTTCAAAACGAGTTTGAAGGGCATTGGCAAGGTTATTGAGTGACATGGAGTGATCTGGATGAGGTGCCGGCCGAAGAAGAAGTGCCTCTTGGTGCAAGGAAATTGCTTCGTCAAGGTCGTTTGAAACACCCCACTGTTTAAAACAAGTTTGAAGGGAATTGGCAAGATTATTGAGTGACATGGAGCGATCTGGATGAGGTGCTGGCTCAAGAAGAAGTGCCTCTCGGCGCAAAGAAATTGTTTCATCAAGGTTGTTTGAAGCACCCCGCTCTTCAAAACAAGTTTGAAGGGCATTGGCAAGGTTATTTAGTGACACGGCACGATCTGGATGAGGTACTGGCCGAAGAAGAAGCGCCTCTCGGTGCAAGGAAATTGCTTCATCAAGGTTGTTTGAAGTGCCCCACCATTTATAACGAGTGTGAAGGGCAGTGGCGATTCTATTGAGTGATTCGGCGCGATCTGGATGAGGTGCTGGTTCCAGACCATGACGAAATGCAGTAATCACCTCGTCCAAGTCTCTGTTAGACTGGCTTTGTTCATGTAATCTGTGATAGGCAAATCCTAATGCCTTCCATGTCCACATATTAATTGGCTCAAGTCGTGTGGCAATCTCGAGACACTGAATGTGATATGACAGTGTGGTGACATCTTCGTTCCCAATCATAATGGCAATCTCATAAGCCAGCCCAGACTTTTGGATGTCGTCAAGAGCCTGAGACATATGGCCATCCTGGAATCTGGCTGCAATACAAGGTAGAAACAGTGTAGCCCAACGATGCATCGCTTCCTCCGATATCAGTTCCATACCCACTGCACCACTAGGTGGTGCCAATTGTTGACGTGGGGTTCCACTTGAGAAGTGCAGAGGCCAAAATTTGACAGCATATGGCTCTACACCACGAAGCTCTGCGTAAGCACAAGTCTTTCCCCGAAAAGATGGGAGTAACTCGACAAACACAATCTCGAGGCATCTACTCGCCAATACGTAGTGCGCTTCTGTAATGCTAATAGCTTGAAATGCCTGGTCATCAGACTCTGTGGTGATGAATTCAACGAACGACGCGTGAAATCGTTGTGTTGCTGGAGATACAAGATTAGTTTTCGGATCACCATGCGCCGGCAAGGCTGCCAGCCGCTGGTGAATCTCCTCTGCGGCGGGCCTAGGTATGCCTGAGAGATGTGCGAAATCACCAATTGGCAGGGCTTCCTGGAGAACTAATGTTGCTGCCAGGAACTTTCTGAGTATCACTTGACTGCGTGAAGTTGGGAAAGAGGTCGAAATAGCACTGCGATATAGACGCTCAAGCTGCCTGTCTTCCGAACCGTCTTTCTGATTGATCATCTTCTCTTCGGACGACAGCATTTGGTCAAGTATCTCGTGCGGATATCGAGTGTCAAATTTATTCGATACCAATGATCGTGCCGTTGCTGCCCAGATAAGGAGACCATCTGCACGAGCCGCCAATCGATGGATTTTGTCATTGTCGGGCTTGCGCCCTCTCCAATTAATATTGCCTAGTAAGAGGTGCTGATGGAAGTAACTCTCGATGACCGTCTGTGAGGCCGGGGGAAGAGGGTATTTGCGAGTTAGCATTTTATCGACAGCCCGTTCAATGGAGTAATTGAAGCGACTTGTCAGGACAAATTTTAAAGGAGAGGGCGACGGAATGTGCACAAGTTCTGCCAGGAATGATTCATAATTTCCCCATTCATCCAGACCATCCACAACAATGACAAGCTGATAAGGGTACCCAAGCGCACGAATTGGGTCGAAAATATATGCCGTTAAATAATCCCTAAGCCCGTCGTGCGGGCCATCGAGTGTCCTTGCAGCGTCGGCAATGTTAGCGATGGCTTGCGGATACATCGCGCCGAGCTGTCTGGAGATCATCTGGATGACCCTCTTGGGGGACTCTGTAGTCAGATTGGTGAGAAATATACCCCCAGCAAGGCGGTCCTCCGATTTGAGAAGGTGGACCAATTCCTGAGCGACAGTCGATTTACCTAGGCCAGCGGCACCATGTACCCAGAGGACAGACTCTGGGGCGTTAGCTATCCAGTCGGAAACATCCCGTATAACGTCATCTCGACTTTTCTCAAGATATTCGTTGCGTGTATAGTCTGGATGGCTCGGCAAGCCGTTCAGTGATGCGAAATCTGGTTTATGTCAATTTACTTCACCACGCGGTCAGAAATCTCGGACTCACCAAATTTCCGGTTGAGTTCCTCGGTATCCAGCTTTATATTGACCGAATTTTCCGTCTAATTTCAAGTTCGTAAAAGACTTTGGCATTAGGAGGACGTCACAAACCTGAAACAATTGGATTGCGACGTCCAGCCTTCTTCTGATAGCTTCGAGGTCACCCATGTGAGCACTTTGTTGCAAGTACCGCGAAAGGAGATTGAGTCGACTAAGTTTCTCACATTCTTCAGCTATGCTTCCGAGAGTCCTATGTAAATTTCAGGTCAATACAATATAGTTTTCGGGTACGACTGCTTTTCCCCACTTCGTAAATTCATTCAGGGCTCGTTTGAGTTTCTCTGATGGCCCCGCCTTACTCTCGGAACAAATGACGGCGCAAGACAAAACAAATTCTCCAGCTGTAGCTGCTACTTGTTTCATGTCGCTGTAATTCGAGCGAGTTTGCTGATGGCAATGAGAATTACGGCAATTGAAAGGAATTTCGAGGACGTACCGAGACGGCCTGCAACATACTAATGACTTTTCCGATTAATGGTTGGACCCACGGTACCGGTATTAAAGAGCTGGCTTCCTCTACGAGGGTGAGGATGCTGATGGTTGTCCCGATGGTTATATCCAACACTTTGGATAGTTTCTCCGAAGTTCCGTGTTCGCCATCGCTCACGAACGAAGGCTGAACGATGTGTGAATGGCGTGAGATCCGGTGGGACAAACCAGAATGTCGAAACTGACCTTGATCCCCTCAATATCTCCCTTTATCATATCCATCAATCCATCCAAGGATTTGCTGTCGCCATTAAGTTGGATAGTTTTGAGCTTCGCAATTGTCCTAAATGGTGGATAGAAACATTCAGAACGATCAGGTCTATAGAAGATCAATGCTAGATTCTTACTTATTAAACGCTGTCACCGCCCGCGCGGTTTCTGCACGCTGGGCATCGGTAGTGGCAGATGCAAGTTGAACGCTGAACCGAGCGCAGGTCTCGAGAACTTCGGTAAGCTGAAGGATAAAACTGTTGAGGATCGATACGCATTATACATCGCAGACCTTACCTGGCCTTTCGAGTCATTATCGCGGATTACGACAATAAGCTGGATGAGCCTCTTGAGCTCGGAACTTTCTTGGAGGGTATACGCGATAGAGAGAATGGCCATATCTTTTTTGAAAGATTTGCCTTTCGTGAATGCTTTGGTAGATGTTGAATCCGTATCGTGAGGATTCAGCACCGGAGGGTTCATGGTGGTGGTCGGAGGCTGCGGTGCTGGTATGCCGATGGAAGACTCGGTGGGTTGGGGGGTCTTAGGTCGCAAATGAAGAAATTGCAGGAACTTATCACGTTTACGATCCCCCTTCGGTTTAGGTGCCATAACTGGGCAAGTTGAAATGGGTGTACAGAGGAAAGGTTGTCCACTGTCCTGTGAGAAATGACACCGCTGAACCTCGAGGCTTAGGCCTCGAGGTTCAAGCTCTGCCGTTTGCAGGACGCGGACCGAAATCAGGAAAACCCGGTCACGGGACAACAGTTTCAAAACCGCATGATCATAACCACCGCAAATTCCACCCCCTCCAAGCTCAGCCCTCTCCATACAAGAACGCACAAAAATATGCTCGACCGCGCGCCCTCCTTGAACTCGCCCGCTTCGGCAGAACTTAAGATCTCGCGTGAGATTACTCACTGAGCTCGCCGAGGGAAAGACGGAGAGGAACAGGAGGGCCAAGAAGAAGATATCAGAGCCCCGAAACGGAGTAGAGTCGGGCGTAAGCTTATTCGTTGCTTGCGTATGTGCTTCCGCAGTGGCTTTTGAATTTGAACTTTGACGCGCCGCATCATACTAGGGGGCTGTAGGATCCCTCTTTCTCGCACACATCCACAATCGCGTCAAGACACCACCACCACCATCACTATCAGCACCCCTCCTCCTTCCCTTCGTCTCCATCGACCCCACCGGAAACTATCGTCGAGGAAGATGATTCGACTACGGCAAATGAGAAGTGTCAAGACTCAAGAGAAATATCGGTACCCGTTCCTTGCGCGCCCGATGTAGATTACCTCGAGCATTATTATGCGGGTCGGGTATTTTTCGATGACGCCTTTGAGGGCGGCTGTTAGGATGGTTTTGAGGGGGTATTGAGGTCGATTTTGGCGGTACTGAGGTCGATTTTGGCTCTCATTCCTCGCCGTGTTCGTACCCGCCGTTATCGTCCCCCTTGCACACACGCACTTATCTTCAACCTTTCCTAGCTATTACTTGACTTGGATGCCGTCGTCAGTCCGTTTCAGCCCTCTCACTCTAGCCCTCCTTCTCAGAGTCGTCCGCGCCCATCGCCTATTTGCGCGCGTTCATAGCTACCTGCCAGCAAACCAACAACCATATCCCCGTCCATTTTTCCTTGGGCAAACACAAGATCCAGATTCAAATTCGAACACGTATATCCAGGACTCGCACCAAGTACTGCAGAACCATTCATCTTTATCATTATATTTCTCAAACGTTTCTTTCTCTCCCCAGCCAAATTGTTGCTCCCTGCTGCTGCCGTTTTCGGATAACGGCTCCTTGTTACCAAATCAATCCCGAAGAACAGCTCCCTGACAATTCGTCCCCAGCTCACATCCTCTGCTACCATTCCTAGATAATCGGACACTGTTACGGCTTCCTGTTACCGCCCCAAACAGCCGTTTCCAGACAACCGCGCCTTGCTATCGCTCTTTGCTCTCGCCGCCCCGCTACCACTACTTTCCCCCTGCTCCCTGATGCCGTTTTCCTTGCTTGCTGATATCCAGCTCGATCATCCTCCCTTCCTTTTAATGTGTGCTTGATTGATAATCTCGCATCCCGTCCATTCCGCGCCCTGCATACCTGTGCCATTCATTCCGTACCCCGTATCACAGTCATTCGGTACTCCCTATCACAGTCATTTCCCAACCCACGACCCCGCTTGGCCTGTACCCTGTTTCTGTCATCACCACCGTCATCACGCACGTTTATTCTTTTTCTGCTTTCTCTCTTTTTCTTTCCTGCTCTTCCTTGAGCTTTCTTCCTCTTTCTTTCTTTGTTTACGCTCTTGTATTCCATATCGATTTCAAATTTTTCGTATCGACGTCTGTCTTGTAATGGACAAGCTATCGCGCTCTCTCGTCCCTGGCCTGGACAAGGGACGGTGTAGATAAATCTTCAACAACTCCTTGGGCTCGCTGTCACTATCGCCGAGAAACCGCAATGATTCACGCAACATAAATCCCCCCCCCCGAGAGATCTGCAAAAAAATAATCTCTCGAAGAAATTCATATGTTATTGCCGTCAGGGGGTGTTCGAGGGGTGAGATGACTCATGATGGTCACCTCAACTCAATTGAACTCAATTATAATTTACTTGCACTCGGAAATGATGAGTCGATATACACAACGGCCCTGTGGTATGAAATGGGCAATGATCGAGACAAAACCTCACAACTTGCATTTTGAATACCCAATCAATACCTCTGGCATCGCAGAAAAAAGGTAGTATGACACCTTGGTACTACGTGACCATGAGGGGCTCTTAAGGAGACGCTCAGCTTCATCATCGGTAAAATATATTCAATACCAATTCTCCGCCCCACACCAAGAAATTGTGAAAAAGCCCAATGATGGCCCTTTTATGTAGATCTCTCAGTCTCGCAATGATCGATGAGAAAATAGTGATCCCTTTCGTATCTATGTCTATCTATGTATATCTATATTGAAAGCCCTTGGAGGGGTCGCTTCCATTGATTATCTTAGATTTCCACCTCAAAACAACGTTAAGAATGGACCTCTCTCTATTCTCATGATATCCATCCGAGTCCTTGACCATGCATTGAAAGCTCTCTCAAGAAATACTCTTCTCCGGTACCATTCAGAGCGGGCCCTTTGAAAGGAAAATCACAGGGGAACCACGTCCCTCACAAACCCAAAATTAATATGTACATGACGTCTCAGCTACTCTTCTCGACAAATACCCCAAAAATCGCATTGAAAAAAAAAATCACGGTGAATTCACCGAAACCCATCCCTCTGTCCCTCACAACCCCAAATTCAAATTATCATGTCCAAAAAATATTGTTCTCAGCAAGTACCGGGAGTGGCCAAAAAAATCCCTTTTTCCCAAAAAATCGCAGGAGAACCACAATGATGCATCGAAACCCACCCCCCTGTCCCTTACAAAACCGAACTAGATCCATGAAGTTTGACCAATTGCCACTCCTGCACTTGGTTGGGTGTTTAGTATTGTGAGCAGGGAGTGACTGACAGTAACAAACCCCTCTCAGGCAAGTCAATTCAACCAAGGAAAATCTGACTCTGAAAACCCTGCAAATGATGCTGAAATTTCGGGGAGAACTGGACTCTGTGAGCTCTAAGCAACAAGAGGTTAACAAATATGGATAGGTTTTCAAAAGTAGCAGACCATAGTTGATGACCGTGAAATGTGTGGAGGCCTAAGTCTTAGCCTTTCTCTGTCAATTTGTTGTTGCTTTCTCTGCAATAGGAAGAAATGAATTCGAAAACAGGTTGAGTAGCTCTGAAGACTAACCCACTAGTTAAAAAATTAAAATTAAAATCAACATGTGATAAAGAAAATCAATGACGTACATCCTGAACCAGCATAGAAACATTGCTTCAGTAATTTTTTCACCAGATGGAAAACAGTAGTTGCTTACTCGCTATACAATGTTAGCACTGATGAGAGATTTTTAACATAACATAAAACTCACAATCTGAACACCATTCACATAAAGAGCTACCATTAGAAATTATGTATCAAAAACAGAAAAAGGAATCTTGCATTCTAATAATGAAAAAAGAAATAAGTGACATGTCTTATTATGAGGAGAAATGGGTAACCAACCTCCTGAAATAGATGATCCTGTTGGCTTAGGTATTTAATAAGGAAAGAGAGAGCATGCCAGCTGCAGAAATTAGCTGTGGACACTACTCAAAAATGAGAAAGTGCCTACTGTCTGAGAAAAGAAAGAAAAAGTTAGCCAAAACATAAATGATGCAACCTGGTTTCTCACATTCTGCATTATGATTCAATGCTCAGTGAGACAGAAGATGAGCATGGAACATACAGGCTGCACAGAGAATAAGTTTTATATTGTGAATCTGTTTTGTGTACTTACTTTTGGAGAGCTGGTGCCCTACAATGGCAAATGCCACTCTTAGGCAAATAATATTTCAGCATCTTGGATACTCACAATCTGCAGGGTGATCAATCAGCAAATATAGGTGGCACCAATTATTTACTTACACCCTGGAGTATGCTGCAGGATAAGAGGGCAGATATATCAATATCAAGTAAAATAACTTGCATACTGCGATGAATTTCTCAAACTAAGCTCAGAGAATAAATAAAAGCTACTCACAGCCTAACAGTAACATTCACTTGAAGTGCATATTGGCCATTGAAAGTTACTCACCCCCTGGCAGTACGATTGAGATGAAAAACCCAATGAGTACTACCCAATAAAGTGGATAGGTTGTGACTAACATACTAGTTAGATAGATGTTAGTGTACAAAGTTCCATTGTTACAGTAAAATTACTTACACCCTGATGAATCATGGTTCTAATATGAGAATTGATGAGTAAAAATGTTGCAGAGAAGATACACACAGCCTATATAGTATTTCATCAGCTTAATGTATTCTTCAAATAGGATACCTACATGCGATGTTTTGGAACTGAAGAGATTTCAGTTCAGAAAGTATCATCAGAGACTCAAAACTGCTCTTACAAATTTTCAACATTCTAAAAACATAGACCATAGCATTCAGCATTCAGCATTTATCCACCTGCTTTTAAAAAAATTCACCTTCTGATGTTGCACATCAAAGGTTAGATTGGGTAAAACAAGACAAAGAGAAGACTAACTTTCTGGTTGCAAAACATCCACAAGAATGGCCAACATAGCCAAAATTATCACTCACCCACTAATAGAATGAATTTAGTAAGCAGAGAAGCAGAAATAGCACTCACTTTCTTGTGGTTGTAGTAAATTTGAATGAACTCTTTGAGGTTCAAAATTCTAAATCACTCACCACCTAAAAACAAGATAATAAAATGTGTTTCTAGTATCCAAATTGCTTACAATCTATATTCTCAATTATATATTGTCAATTTTCAAAAAATAAAAGACTTACATCCTGCAAAACATATTCAAAGATGATTAACCTGAAACACCCATTTACTCACTTTCTGTTGGGGAAAATTTGTCAAGGTCTGAATATGAAATAATAATAAGCATACTTTAAGTTTCCGAATGAGCCCCGACATTTTCTGGGTCAAATTTTGAAAACATGCCACATTCTGGATGTCTTTTAAATTACAAAATAAACTTCAGAGCTCAAAAATGAACCCACCTCCATGCTCATAGTTAGCAGCTCCATATCTTCTAGTATCTTCTTTGTGTTGTCAACCTTGAAGATTAAAATATTAGTCCAAAGAATAAATGAAGACTTCGAAGAGTCGAGCAAGATGTCAATGTTTTCCTCTAGAACATTGCTTGCGCGCATTAAACCCGTGATCTCTTCCAATCGTCCTGATTTACTCAATTTGACACATTTGAGGAGATGGTCAAACCAGTGGACAGAAGCATACTGTTGCGCTTCTGCACGCTGTACCCACCCTAGTGCAGTGCTTCCCACGGAGCGGGATGACTCCTGATCCCCTTCCGAGAGTTGTGCAGTAATTTCCAGACAACTTGCGGCAAGGGAGAAATGAGTTCTTAAGCCATCAAAATGATAGCCTCTTGAATCTCGTGGGGACTTGAGATATTCCCAAAGAGATTCGCAAATCGGTTGAATGGATTTCTTATCGTCAGCCGGAATAGACAGGAGGGCGTTGATTTGGAAAAGGGAGGGAAGGGGGTCGATCTGGCGTGATGTGAAAACACGGCGTAAAGCGGTTAGGGACAATGGGGAATTTAGATACGTGACAGTTCCTAGAACCTCCTTGAAATCGGACGAGACTCCCCCCCTGACAATATGGCTTAGCACCGCCTCGAAAAAATCATAGAGGCGATCATTTGAGCTTCTGAGCAAACCAGAAAGCCTATTGCTCATATCCTTGTGGTCAAGGTAATGGAGGATAGTTTGGGCAAAATGGAAGGAACCCCTGGACAAATCGACCAGACACCCAAGCTGCTCGTCTGACGACATACTTCTTTGACGAGCAAAATTACTCGTGGAACTCGTCCGCCGAATCTCTTTCAGCCGGTCTTGGACGAATTTCCGGATATCCTTCGTCGTTTCCACAGCATCGATATCTTGAATATTTACTTCCTTTACAAATCGACTAAATTCTTTTGACTCGCGAGCTTCCTCGAAGTGGTCTGCGATTCGGCCCGTAAGAAGGATGCGGACATTTGCGAGAAGTTTGGGGGTGCTCCCTGAAGGTATGCCGACGAGCATCTTGACGAACTCCCTCATCGCCCTCTCATCACTGCACCGATCTATACCGTCGATGACTATGACCAGCCGGGTTTTAGACTGCATGATACCCGTCCGTGACTTGGTTGGTTTTTCCTCCAAGAGTGTCGATAGGACCCCCAAAAGAAGCTTCCTGAACTGATAGTCCTGCGAAGAATCTTGAAATATACTCGGCTCGTGTCGGTAAACCCGTTCAACATGTGGTATCGCATGGTAATTTGAAATGCACATGGTATAGACGAGAGAAGGGATTAAATGTTCAATCCCACTTCTCTTATTGCAGTCGAAGAAAAAGTTTGCGACCAGCGTATTTTGCTCAGAGCACTTCTTCGCAAGCGTTTGGGCGATAGAAGTCTTCCCCGAGCCCACTGGACCTGTGAGCCAGCAGATGGGCGTATTCGACCTGATCCAGTCGTCGAGCTCTTTGAGAAGCTTAGACCGTGTGCTAGGGTGATAGGATGGGATGTCGACGCGATTGAAGCTGTAGTTCACCGGCGGACGGAGTGCGTTAAGAAGGTCGGATGCTGGCCACCAGAATGAGCGACATGGCAGAGGAATGAAGAGAGGCAAGCGAAAGAATCTTACAAAGTCGTCCCGCTGCAGGTGGGTGATGATGAATATGAGTCTCAGTATGATTCCCGCCCACAGTGGTGATTCGGTTGTTTCTTAAGCTGAGATCTCTCGGATTTGTGAACGACGAGAATTGGGAGGTCATGCTGCAGCGTTGGCAACCGCGTATGTCAGGGCGAAACGGATATGAGCGTGAGGCTTATCGAGGCGGCTGAGTCAAGGCGCTGAGGTACCGCTTGAACGTTGAACTTTCGAGGCACTGGTACACCGCCACAGCAACGTGAGTTATTATGGCGCCTATCAATGTCGGACAGCCCGCATGAATGACAGGCTGTAAAGTGGACTCAGGACCAACCATACCGATTGCTACCCTCCCAATAAGTCCAAATCGACATTCAAAACGCACATAAGTGAATTATAAACAGATACGCGCCAAATCTCAACTCACAGTGAAAGCGCCTTGCTGTTGGAACCTGCGCAGTGCGCACTGATGATTTCTTGAACCCAAAGTTCGCGCCAGTCGCAGAGTTGGATGCCTATCCTTGAGTTCTTGGTTTCACTACTGAATTCGTTGACCACCTATTCTAGATACGATGAGCCAAAGCCCTACGTCGGTGATCATACGAGGGGAAGACTGTTCAATTACCTATCAATTACCTGAGTTCTGATCAGCGGCGTGAAGGCACTGAAGGGTGATCGACGCCTGTTTCATACACCTCCGCAAATCGTTTGAAAAACCAAGCCATTCCGCAAATTGAAAGACCAAGCCTTGGGCTCCGCGTCAGTGAAAAATTGCTATGAAGCAACGGATATCAAGTTGAACGCTGATCCCTTGAATGTTTTTGAGCTCACCTGAACCTCTAAAACTCGGACTACTCCGGCCTCCATATGTCCAGTAAAACTTCCTCTGTCGTGTCTATGGTTGATTCACGGGCTACAGTTGTCGAAATTCGCCCAAAAGGATGCTAGGTTTGTCGGGTCCCCGACTGCAACTTGGTGTCGGCGAGGTATCAGCACACTAAATTGGGTATACAGCACCACTCACAAGAACCCTCCACAAAGATATAATTCTCTGCAATTCATTTGCGGCACGGCAAAAAAATTCAGAACTTAAAAAGCAGCCAGAAAAAAAAAGACTGAGGTTGATATGGATTCGGTAACTACCGAAGATATGTGTAGAACATTGTTACGCTCTGTTTCTTGAGCCAAGCCTGCGATCTAGTGATGTTTTCTCTTTTCTTTTCTTACGGAAAGTCGCGACTAATATATGTACACATGTGATGGAAAGTTTCGCAAAACGCTCTCGTTGACAGAAATCAAGGGAGGCTAACGGATCCATCGAACAAAACGTTCAGCCATGCGGCCAAACGGTATGCTCCCTTAGCAATTTGTTCCTCAATCTAGAAACCTTGTGAGAGATAGTTATACCCCTAAAGAACAATGCGTACGATGGGTTGCGCGCCTGCGGCGTAGCTGCTCGTTCCTCCCGAACAGAGGTCCTTACCAGTGGTGAAGCCGAACACATAAGACTGTGTGGTCAACGTGTTCACAATTAGTCAAAAATGTCCTTAAGCTGAGAAATGCACGCACGCAATCGAAGGTGTTTGAGTCTTGGGCCCAAACCAGAGGGCACTTCAGAGGAGTGATGGCGGCCGTTGAACGAGCAGCGAGAAATTCATCAATATCATCCTGAATACTGCGCTTCTGGCTCAGGGGGGCTGAGGGGTCCGAACATGCGATCCAAGATGCTTTCGACGACGCAAAGTTTCCCGTCTGATGTTTGTGGCATTAGTTAAACACATCTCCATGAAAAGTTGAGCTGCGTGCACCTTGATGCGGGTGGCAAGGGAATTGGCCCACGTCGTCACAGAATTTCCGTACTGCGCCTTTAAGAAGCCTTCGATAATGCCGGTATCTATAGAACTAACATCACTCAAAAGATTCTCTCGAAAACATGGGGTTGCCTACCCCACAGCTAAAAATATAAACTCGGTCAGTTGCTCTAATCCATCATGTTGCGAAGGAAACTTACAGCGTGAAGGTTGGTCGATGAGCCGTTGCACTTGACGGTAATATCGTTTCCGCCCACTTTCAGCGCTTCGACATGGAGGGGCTGGGTAATATCTCCAAGGAACTGTGATAATCAGATTTCAGTAACATACTTAGAACGCGAAAATAGATGACCTACATGATCTATAAATAGTATCAGGAACGTGAACCCTCGAGAGAGACACATAAAAACTAACCCAAGAACTTCAAAGCCTCCTGGCGTTGCGTCGCTGAAAGGCTAGTCTGCACGACGCGGGTGGTATAGTTAGCAATAGCCGTGACTTGTGAAACGTTAGAAATCCAACCCGAAGGGATTTATTTAGACTCAGGCTTACGAATGCAATTTCCGCTGCCGCAGTCCCTGGTCTCAGAGACGGAGCACGACGTGGGTGGGTTATCTGTAGATTGTTCTTAGACGTTGAGCTTCGGAGTGTAAGACACCACCTCACCCTCGGCGTCGACAAAGTGGAAGGGGGCCGACCTGATTTATCCAGTTAGATATCAATCGATCACTATCCAGCGACAGGCTTTACGCGCACCATGAGTAGGCGGCCTGGGATCTGACGGTGTCCGCCCACTAGGTTGTACTGAAAGTTAGTTTAAGATGCTGTGGACGAATGTAGGCATTGGCACTTACAGTAGCTGCAGGACCGAGCGATCTAGAGTAAGAAGACCCAAGAGAGTTCTGAACAAACGAAAGGGCATTGGGTGCGAGGAACTGTGACAGCCTGTTTTGAGCAATTCTCTCTAAGAAGGTAGCTGTGCTGAATAAATACCTGCATCGCCGTGTATCTAATCATTCATTCACTCAACCGATAGTTGTATGGATAGTAGATTTCACTTACCCGACTGCCATATGTCCATCAGCTCCCCATCCGTAAACCCGAGCGTAGGAAATCGAGAGAACTAAGAGAACTGCTTGAACTTTCATATGTCGACTTTGCAATGGGAAAGAAGGGCTTCAACTGGAAAAAAGAACGCTTCATATATATCTTCTCAGCCTTACAAATTTGAGATTTTTTGGTAACAATTCCGCTGACGCGAGTCCTAACAACGCACGTTGGCCGTTTCCACAAGGATTCGATATACATGAGGAAGTAGCAAGCTGCCGTCGACAGGTTGCGTAAGATATCCATGAAAGATCCCGAGTAAGGGTGTCAATGAGAAGACGGCCTATAGTCATAGGACGAGGGACCATGTGCTCGGACTCGTGATAGCAGATATCATCGCGTGGAGGGGCGCGGAAAATGATGGATTTGGTGGGAGTGAGACCAGGACTTGCCAGGATTTGAGTGGACAAGTGGGAAATGACGAGGAAACATCGTTATCGTCAATTTCAATAATTTTGACCCTCATTCAAGGGGTAAGGACGGGGATACTGAGGGGCTACCAGTGCGCGCGAGAAAAGCCACAAGATATAACAGTTGAGGAGGAACATCGCTCGAAAGACGTCCTGTGCAGGGGTTTCCGACTTGCGATCTGGACAACTTGATCATTGAATATTGAATATTGAATAATATCGCCCATTAGCCGATCGCTGTCAGAGCAGGATGGAAAGAGAGGTGTGGGCACGTGACGCAAACGATGATCAACGACGTTGAATTTCTGAGCCAGATGTGGTCCTCCAACCAACCAATGACTGGCCCTCCGACGCAAAGGGTACTCAAGCTCCTCGAGGAAAGCATCGTCTGGGGTTCTCGTCTCGCTGGTGAACGTATACAAGAAGCTGGGTGGATATCTATCAGCACAACCTAAACAACTTGGACTCCCGTTCAACCACACCGTTTACTGGCAGGTTCAACGGTAAAGAGAAGCGAGGTGCGACAGCAAGAGTGGAGCGGAATAGAACAGAGGGTGCGCGACTTTATTACTACGTCCCATTTGCTTGTCAACGATGGAAACCACAGGCCTGCTTTGCTCGTAACTCAAGAATCAGAACAGACCGCCACGCAAAGTGCTGTATGGTCGGCGGTGAAGGCTTGAAGAGTGTCGTTACGGCTTCTTACCTCCACCAAGCGCACGCAACTCTGCGAGAAGTCGACCCAAAGTCGACCAATAACCCTGTCCGGGTCCAGAGCATGGCAAGTCATACACCTGTCCGCTTCAGCTTATATCAATTCAATTTTTGTTTACTCAAGATCCTTGTCCTGACTACCGCCTCCTTGATGTCATCAGCCAGAGGCTTTGGCCGCCTCCTTGCTGTGACAGGCGGAGCGGTCGAACGTCAACTCCTTGTTCTCTTTTAGCAGGATATCTCCGAACAACGTTTTGACCCTCAAATTCTCCTGTTGACGCCATCAGCGCTCCTCCTGTGCCTTTGAGATGTCTTTTTGTGCAAGTGAAGATGTGAAGTGCATCCACAAAGCTACATTTTGATCCTGCTTCAAGACGCTCGCCAGCATAAGGCCTGGCTCTTCACACTACGACGCATTCATTCCGCTTGAACCCGTTTAGTATGTGAGTGTTCCACGGAATATCTTCTTCAGGGCGTCTGGACAGGTTTTGTTCTCCAGCAGGCCGCCGCCCATACGCCCCTGGTTATTGCTCAAGCGGGGGTGCGCTGCAGTGCGTCATCGATTCGGAGGCAAAGGATCTGCGGACTTAGCTACATCCTCCCACCCCTTCCATTTCAATAAGACGTGTACGTATGTCACATCTACCCTTGGAGATGAAATCATTGAAGCAATGTCCATTTCTTTCAGTAAAAAGTCAACGACGACAACACTATTTTCTATTGAACCCTTCAGCGTCTGGTTCTGCAGCTCCTTCACGCACCTTATACTTTACAATCCGCTGCATGTCAAGCGGCTCAAATTCCAACTCCCCACAAATTTCATTCTCTGCTATGGTACATCACGTGATGACCGTCCCTGTGCGCCTAAAGAGGAGGGGACATACGCCCATCCTTTTCTGGACATTGAAGATGTTGCGGCTTCCCATTATTGACACTTCCGCATTTGAGGACTCCCTTTGTCTCCGAACCTCATTCCTTCCCTCTTCGGATCAAAATACCGTATCTGTCCCCTCTTGGAGATCGAATCCTTACAAGCCAGCCGCCTCACAACATTATCACCTTGTTTTCAAATAAAGCAGACTTCTTGTCACTAGATTCACGACGGCTTACTCGATTCGTGTGAGCTTCCGATCCACATGACGTCCGTTTACGTCGTGCTGAAGGTGTCTTTGTTTTCGAGCAGCACTAATATACATCCTTATGGCGCTGGATGCCCAAAATATCTCAAGCCCTCCTGCTCTAGGCGCTGTCCGCTGCTCCCGCCTGTCCTGTTCCCGCTAGAAGTCAGCGTGTCTCGACTTACTTCGTGGTCGATCCAGGGAGTTTAATTTGCGATGGCCGTCGAACTAGCTGCCTTGTCCTTCGTCTCCGTCGTACTCCTCAGTGTGTTTATCCCGGTCAAGCGCGTACGCACAAGTGTTCCTAGCCTAGCCATTCTGATATGGCTCATTGGATGCAATCTTGTGCACGGGATCAACGCGCTTATATGGGCTGGTAACGTCAATGTCCAAGTTGTGGTGTGGTGCGACATCGGTAAGCCTTCTGTCGGCTTTTAAGACACCACTGATTTTTATTCGCCCCTTAGTGACAAAACTCGTGTTGGGCGCCAACGTTGCGTTGCCTGGAGCATTTTTATGCATTTCACGCCACCTAGAGTTGATATCCTCTAAGAGGAAAATCGAGACTGACTTGAAAATTATACGATACCGGACGCTTTTAGAGTTTTTATTCTGTTATATCATCCCCGTAATCTACATGGCCCTACGTGCGTGGTTTCTCCCTCTTCCTGGCACCGCCAACTGACTCTACTTCAAAATCAGACCTGGTTGCTCAGGATCAGCGGTTTGACCTTGTAAAGAACTTTGGTTGCTCTGCCTCGACCCACCCCTCTGCTGTTGCGTCTTTGATCGTGTGGGCGCCACCCCTTCTGATCTGTGGCATATCTTTCTTTTTGATTGGTAAGTCTCTACCTCCTTGTTTTCGGATCTCAAAACTGACTATTTCGTTACAGGTCTCGCAATTTCCAACTCCTTCCAAATGCCTTCTGAACGTTTCTCGACCCACCTTCCCTCTCGTTCACCCATGACGACCTCCTTGTTCATTCGTCAGCTCACTACTTCGATACTTATGCTCGGTGCAGCCATCTTAATTACCCTGTTCTCATTTTTCTCCGTTCCCATCTTCCGACCCTGGGTCTCTTGGGCCTCCGTTCACTCTCAATTCTCTGTTATCGATGTTGTGCGCAATTCGGACGAGATCAAGGGGATTCAGCTCCAATGGTGGGGACTTTTGGCCCTTTCTGCTGTTTATATTTTGCTTTCGTTCACTCTGGGAGAGGAGGCGAGGGATGCGTTTAAGTGGGCTCGGAGCCTAATACAAAAACGTCCACTTCGACGACCGTTCATCCTGGCAAATCAGTAGGTGGATTTTTCTCGGAAAGTTGGAAAGGGGGAGCTGATGGCCCCTGTTCATAGCCGCCTGAAGACCCCAGAGCCTCGGCAGATGTCAACACGCTCCCCAACTGCTCAACCACGACCCCTGACAATCGAGCTCAGTTCCGGATGGGATGATACCCTCGATTTCAAGGTCGCTTCGACTTGGGGTTCGAGCAAGAAGTCAAAGTCTGTCGGGAACTCAAGTCGCTACAGTCCCAGTCCCAGTCCCACTGCGGCTTCCACGGCCTCAGGGGACGAGGTCTTCATGGCCTCCACTTTGTCATACTTGGGGTCGCCGCCAGCCCAGTCCCTAGGGATCGCCTCTCCTCGTAATCCCATTCAGGCTCCTTCACCCACGTACGCTGTTCCGCGGAGAGCCATCGACCTATCTCCTCCGTCTCCAGTGAAACGGACACCTTCGATCCCTTTCAATCAAGTTCAAGTTACGAGCGTTCCGCCGTCTACAGCATCAAAAGAGAAGCACAAGTCGTCGGCGATTGCATCAGCTCTCGAAGTCAACTGGCCCGTTCCTCCCGTATCACCAGTTCCCAGCGTACCCTCTCGACACGGGTCTCTGATGACTTCTCCGTCTTGTTACAGTACCTCCCGCTCAACTTCTCCACAATCTCGATCAGACTCTCCTGCCTTGCCTGAGGATGAGATAGACGATCACGGGTACCCTCCGTCTCTCTTCATTCCACCTCCCTTCCATATGATGACTCGCAACCCTCGGCCTTTAGAAGGTTCGAGCATCTCATCAATGTCGGATATTGGTGCCTCGTCCACGCCGACTGTTGGTGCTAGTTCGAGGTCGTGGAACTCGTCCTTGAAAAGAGGCCCCAGTTTGAGGAGTTTGCAGAGCAGATTTAGTCGGGAGCAGACTGGGCAAGGGTACTTTCCTTCGAATGATGTGATCCATATGACGGTGGTCCAGGAGACAGTTTAGATAACTTTCTTCCTCTCTCTCATCTTTTAATTTCTATCGGGGAAGACCGTGCGTTCGACCTTCGCCTTCTGTCCCTCTTTCCTCGATTTTTTATGTTCTCAATAATTCTCTCACCACTTATTGTATCCATGTCGTCTCCTCTTCTCAACTATGTAGCATAAACATTGTATCATATCCTTTACCCCTCTTATGCCATTTATACATCTGATTATGGAATTTGCATATCACTATCGTTCAGTGGGGGTCATTGACTGTCCCACCTTATTGTTCTGAAGGTGCTCGCGTGGTGGATTACGTAAGTGACCAGGACAATAAGACAATAGGATACTGGCGTCCTTCCGACATATACAAAGACAACGAGCACCACGCAGCGGTCAAATCCCTCTTTCCTCTCAACTTTCACTTCTGTTTTGGTGGTAGAGGTGTTTTCAGAGGTTCCTCCCCTCAAAAGCGTCCCCAGAACATACATACAGTAGCCGGCTTTTGGCCTTTTCTTGGCATGTTCTGACGTCAGTAAGTGCTTATGTTTTCTTGGGACTTGTTCTTACATTCCGCTCCCCATTGCTGACAGCTTACAGGCACTCGGGCTGTCTTGAGAACGAAACACAAGGCTCACGTCCTAAGTTGCCCACTCTCGCGACCGTCCTGCCAAATTTTGCTGTTTGGAGAACAACGTTTCTAGCTGGACGTTGAGACCTTCGCATCCACGGCGCGACATCACAACTGATTACAACGGTCCCTTCTATTGGTACGCCTATTTCACCTTCCCTTTGCAATTTCCTTGTCCTGGAGGCAAGCCACTTTATTAGCCGATCCTATCACGTGGCGACGCATCTGCCAAATAGACACAACCCTGCACCCACATTCGGCTTTCCCTTTCATGCCTTCCCTCCCTGCCCCGTATCACCGAAATCAGCTCTAACAAATGGAGACTTCGATTGACACGTTTTCCGATGGGACATGCTAGCGCAGATAGTGTGACACATCGCTTTTGGACATCTCAAGGTAACCTCCCAAATAGGACGCAATTCTCCCCGCTTCGGTTCCTTCAACTTCCGGCCAGACAAGGTCGTACCCATATCTGGGTCGCTATCTTGCAGTGATCAACAACTTGGACAAGGGGACAACCCAAATTGCGTACAAGGAGGGTGGATCGGAGCATTTGCTCTTAAAACTGCTGGTGGAAGGCGATTTCGTCACCGCCTCCAGTTGATTCGACCTCAGTGTACTCCTGAAGTTGTGCCCCGCTGTCCTAGGCGTAAATCACCTTACCTCCCGCGCTATCCGCCTCCTGAGGACTCAGAAGATGCCTTACTCCAACCATGTCTTCACCGCATTTGCCTTCCTTGGCTTCCTCTGTTGTGCGATCCCTTTCCCGTGGCACTTGGAAGGTAAATACTCCATGGTCTCTCTTCCGCGAGCTTAACTCACAACATGGCCCGTCAGCGTGGAATACCGGAACCTGCCTCTACATGGCGTGGACTGGGTTGGCTTGCCTCAACCAATTCATTAATTCCATTGTATGGAACAATAATGCAATCAACTGGGCACCCGTCTGGTGTGACATCTCATCAAAATTCATCGTCGGCACCGCGGTCGCCATCCCAGCTGCATCCCTCTGCATCAACCGCCGCCTCTATCACATTGCCTCTGTGAAGTCTGTGACAATCACCAAGGCTGAGAAGCGCCGTCAGATTATGGTTGACCTCGCTATTGGACTGGGTCTCCCAGTCATGGAGATGGTTCTTCGTACGTTACGCTTCTCTCCTCCCCTTCCTTCTTTGCTTACTAGTCATTAGAATATATTCCTCAAGGTCACCGATTCAATATCTTTGAAGAGGTTGGTTGCTATCCCTTTACCTACAACACGCCCGTGGCTTTCGCTCTGGTGTCTGCCCCTCCCATTGCTATCGGCATCGTCTCCGCGACCTATTCCATCATGAGCATCCGTGCTTTCAACAAAAGCCGTGCTCAGTTCAACGAGTTCCTCTCCAACTCCGGCCACAGCAACATCAACAACAGTCGCTACATCCGCCTCATGTGTCTTTCCGCCGCTGAGCTCTTCTGCACCATCCCATTCGGCTGCTACGCCATCTACCTAAACGCTCACAATGGTGCCATGCGTCCCTGGAAAGGTTGGGCTGACACTCACATCTACTTCTCCCGCGTCGGCCAGATTCCATCCGTTCTCTGGCGCGCGAACAAGCGGACTGAAGTCTCTCTCGAGCTAACCCGCTGGCTCATCGTCTTCTGCGCCTTCATCTTCTTCGCCTTCTTCGGCTTCGCTGATGAGGCCAAGAAAAACTACCGCTCTGGACTCTCGTCAGTTGCCAAGAAGGTCGGCATCAACAGCGAGACTCTCTTTGGCAGCTCTGGTCTTACCAGCTCAAATGGGTATGTAACGCTCTTTCCTGACCCCGACATGTAACTCATTCGCTTTCAACTCTTTAGAGCCAAGTCAAACTTCAACACTTCCAAAACCGGTTCAAAAGGAAAAGTCCGCCCAGTCCTCCCCGTCTTCGTGCACACCGAGATGCTCCGCCGCCACGACTCAATGGATTCAAGCCTCTCCGTCTCTTTCCAAGACGCTGGCGGCGCTCTCAGCGCAACTACTATCGATGAGAAAGAGAAAGGACTCTTCTCCCCCATCGTTTCATACGGTGAACTCACTCTCACCGACGTGGGCGGTACGCTGGGGGATTTGAGCTCCGATCAGCTCTCGTCGCCACCGTCCTCTGGCTCCTCATCCGCTTCTTCGCGTTCGAGCATCGTTGAGCAACCTGACGCACCCGCGATGAGGGACGTCCCAGACATTGAAATCTCTTCCGTCCGGGGAACGTCAATCAGCGAACGACCAATATCACTGGCTGTACCTGAAGCTGCCTACAATGGTTCCCCTCGTCATCCTTTCGATGGCCCATCCGCTGTATAAACCAGCCACCTCTCCTTTCCTGACCACTTCCTCGACAAACCCAACTCTAGGCATACCCATTTAATATCACGCGACATACGAACGACCAACTCGGCTGCATTCTTCTCTTCCACTTGTATCCAATATCACCCTTCACGTGTATCCATAGGTTTTACTCAACTTCTTTCACTCTTATTGCTACTTATCCCCACAATGCCTACTGGGTTTCGTTGTCCTTGTGTTGTACGGATAGATATTCAAAAAAACGAAATATACTATGCAACTTAGAACGAAATACTTGTGCATTTGCATGAAATATTTGGAGCGCCAACATATTTAGACTCCGATTACGGTAAGTTCCTGCCAGTTTCTTGCACGTTCCTAGACAACTCTTCTGTCAACTCCGCAGCAACCCTGGCTCTCATCTTAGCTTGATAATTAATTCGATCCATCCACACGCTCGCTTGTCCGCACAATCAACTGAGAGCGATTTGCTTCAATATCAGGGTCTAGGATTGCCAATCCCAAAACTTTTGATCAGACTTGAGTGTAAAAATGCCAGTTATCTCGACGGCGTCTTTCTCGCTCTTGATGGGCAGCTCGCTGGCTTGTCTCTTGTACATCATCACATATGAAGACAGTGCTCGGTATCGCGTATCTGGACAACTTGTTCAGCAACGCGGGGAGGCGAATCTTCCTCGGCTGAAGGCGGCGACTTTGATGGCGGCGGGGTCTAAGTCCTCCTCTTATGAGGAGCTATTCGGAGACACGGGACCAAGACTAGCATGCTCAGTCGGTCAATGAAATGTTACTGAGCTTACTATGTCCCTGTGCGATCATTATGGACAATTCCTCTCCATGGATTGGAACGGAGTCCCTCCTTTGTCCGTACTATACAAGCGATATATTGGTGCTTGTGCTTATCATATCCGCATTTTGGGTTCTCCGTGGTTCAATGGCAATTTAATCAAGTGGCAAGGGGTGGTAAACTCATATCGCTCCAGCGCACAAGTCGTCTTCGCAACAACTTCGCAACCCACTACTTCGTCATGGGTTTCAACTGCGCAATTACTTTTATTGCCTGTAGCAAAAGGTTTGAGCTTCTTGAATATGCATCCCAGGGCTTCGAATGGGTAAACGTAAGTCCTGGCGGGTCTTTTCTCTCGTATCCTGCGTCTGAAGTAAGATCCAGGCATTGAGCCCCAAACCGAGCTTTGACGTTTGCTGGGAAATTGAGTTGATGGCTATGCCGTAGTTGTGGTTCAAAAGGTGAACGTGAATCATTCAGCTGCCCTCCAAAAATCAGAACTCTTACTATGCCATTCTAGTATCTATCATTCTATGACACCTTTACTATATCAAATGCGAGCCAAGGCAAGTACCTCGTACCCGCGAGTTCCATGTGGTACGTCTTGGCGGGATTGCTTGGAGTCTCCAAAGCAGCCTGCGTCATTCTAACGGGAGGCTATTGTAAAATCTAGGCAGAGGCGCAGAGTCGATGGCTGGGTTTTCGAGGCTCGAGCACAATATCCAATTCCAAAACCGATATCTACCATGGATCAAGTTGTCGAAGCATTGTAGTTCTTCCTGGATTGGGCTGATAACATCCAAGTCTTCCATCGAAACGGTAGATTTTTTTTGTTCATAAAACATACTCATTTGAATTTCCTTCGAGTCCTCGCCCTTTGCTCGCCCCAAAATCAAATTGACATCGTGATGCCAGTGGAAGTCCCATGCGGGAGCACGGGGTAAACATCCAGGAGCGTTGAAAATGACGAACAATCAACCTACAACGGAACTTTGTCGGGTCTACGAAATGCTTCACCTCGATGGCAATTTGAACTTCGGGGCTTTTGTTTTACAAGGACAAACTTGAAGTACAACGGTGACAGAGACCGATAAGCCAGCCCGTGGAAGGCGGATGCTTGAAAAGATAACATGAACGCGGATAAATTCAAGAGTATTTCAAAGGAAAGAACCGCAAGTCCTAAGCCTCCGGATGGAATATGGCACCCACTGTTAATGGAGCCGGGGGACAGCTCTAGGAAAAAATGCAACCTCTCGAGGTTCATCCTACTAGGACAAGGACGCCGGCTCTCATGGAATTTCGGAATCGCAGTTCTCCTGTATTTCTTGCAGATTCTATAACTCCACGTCAGCCCTCTCGAATCTACGCCATGGCAAACGCGGATGACGCGCCGCGAAGTGGCCTGGTAGCTACGTAGACTATTTGTTCGACAATCCGAGTCAGCGGCCAATTCGGTTATTTTCAAAGAATAATAATATTGCATTGAGTGATGAAACAATTGAACGAAACCGTGCAGAGTGAGATTCAGTATGTAAGTGGGCTGCGTATCATAGGTAAGTTGCGTTAGTGAGTAGAGTACAAATACATCTGTCGTCACGTTAAACCATGTTAAATCGAACAAAAAGGGTGATTGTGGTGGAAAGCAAGGAGTGTGGAGCTGCGTAGCAAGGGGTGTGGCCAACGCAGATAAATCAAGGCTGATGACAATGGCGAGGTTGGAAAAAAAAGTGATGGAGACGCGCGCAAGGTACCGGACCGACGAGCGTAAGGTGATGGCTCGGCTAAGAACCAGATTGTCCTAGCGGCATCGCTCTACAAGGTTCTGCAGAGCCGAGGGTATAAGAAGACGAAGAGGCGGGTTGCCGGAGGCTGTCTACAAAGATGTCGAATAGCTGGGAGGCGCGATTAGCGTGAGAGAAGGGAACAATGGCAAAGAGACATACTCGAAAGTCCGTGTGATGGAAAGTTATGTGGGTGAGAGAGAGACACTAGGCGATTACACAGTAACCTGCGTATCCCAGTTTCGTGTCTTCGTCAACTAGTTGTCTGAGGATGTCGTCATCTTCAGTCTGGTGTGCAGACGAGATGGGTAATGATGATGATGTGGGTTCAAAAGTTGACAGGTCGAAGGTGGAGAATGAATCCATTGGTTGGAGAGTGCGATGGTGAACGGTAGGGTGAGATGTGAGATGTCGCAAAGATGCTCAAGATATCGCGCGGAGCAAAAGTTGCTTAGTACGCTTGTAACGAGGAGGGGGGTTACGATGAAGGGAAGGGACCAAGCTGAAGAGGCTTTTTAAGAGATACCATTGTGGATTCCCAGCAAACAAGACCCTAGGGACAATGGCCGTACCCTCATTGTCAGTGGCTACAATCAGGCATCAATGCGTTTGGGCCATTGTTCGGCCGGAAAAGAGGACAAGGCCATAGAAAAATTACACCGAAAGGGGATGCCGGAATCACGATGCGCGCGATCCGTACTTAGCTTCCTGAGTTGATGCATATGTGAGCCGTTGGTCTTGAAGTCATATCTAAATAGCTTGAGAGGTAGCATAGGTCTAGGTGTGCCGCCTCAGGCCAAAGAGTATGGAATAAAAATGGTCGTTCCAAAAAGCCCCGAAGATCGCAGGAAATCTGGAATATCCAGACAACTTGAGGCAATCGTCAGCATGGGAAACGGGTGGCTTGAGGTGGCCTGGTGTCGGCGAAACTAGCTTACGTAAGTCAATGGGCAAATTTCACGCTCCGCTCTCCCCATTGTCCGCCCACTTCGTTTGCAAGGATACATGTAACAAAGAGCGCAAGCGGGACTAGAAATGGCAGGGACTCCAATCAACGACTTTGTTCCTTTTCCCTCAACCTTCACCACGTCGTCCTGTCCTTACCTTCTCCATTATAATCAATGCCGACCGACGCAAGCTATCCCGCATTCCCAATCTTTGCTTTCATCGCATTCGTTCTCGTCTTGATCCCTCTCCCCTGGCATTTCCAAGCCTGGAACTCAGGCACTTGCCTCTTTATGATATGGACTGCCGTTGGGTGCTTGAACCTCTTCATCAACTCCATCGTCTGGCGCAACAATGCCATTGACTGGGCACCTATCTGGTGTGATATCTGTATGTGCTGCAGTGGCTTCACCTGTTTCGCATCTCCTAACACAATGATAGCTTCGAGAATTATTGTCGGATTGGCTGTCGCTATCCCCGCTGCCTCTCTTTGCATCAATCGCCGACTCTACAAGATCGCGTCATGTCGGACCGTGACGATAACACGCGCTCATGTACGTGTCCGCCGCTACCTCTGCTGCTCGCGTTCCTTACAGATGTTCTTAGAAACGACGCGCTGTCATGGTCGACCTTGCAATAGGTCTGGGTTTGCCTGCTCTTCAGATGGCTTTGCGTGAGTTTTGTCCCTGTTGCCAGCTGTTCATGTGCTGAGATGCCATTGTTAGAATTCATCGTACAAGGCCATCGTTATGATATATGGGAAGGGGTTGGCTGTTACCCCACAACCGTGAACACGCCCGCCGCCTATCCTTTGAGCTTCCTATGGCCCATCGTCATCGGACTCATTTCCGCCTTTTACTGCAGTAAGCTGCTCCTTTGTCTCACTGCCGCTTTCAAGCTAAAAGCCTCTTTCTAGTTCTCACACTACGAGCTTTCATGCTCCGCCGTGCCCAATTCGCGCAATTCGTTTCTTCCACGACATCTCTGACCATGAACCGTTATTTCCGACTAATGTCCCTTGCGACGCTCGAACTCATCTTTAATCTCCCCATCAATACCTATGGTCTCTATCTCAACATCACCAGCCGACCAATCTACCCATGGAAAAGTTGGTCCGATATCCATTATGACTGGTTCACCATCGACACATTCCCATCTATCCTCTGGAGGTCGAATTCAACGCTTTCTGTCACCTTGGAGTTCAGCAGATGGTCTGTGGTCTTCTGCGCACTTCTCTTCTTTGGCTTCTTTGGCTTTGCGGATGAAGCCCGCAAGCATTACCGTTTGGCGTACTGGGCTATTGCTAAACGATTTGGTGTTACCCCACCTCCATCTTCATTAGGGGGCAAAGTTAATCCTGGGTAAGTACCACTTTTCCTTCCTCACGTTTCACGCTGTGTACTTACGTTGTCCACCTTCAGTTCTGCCAAACCATCTTTACCAGGCTTCGTCCCCCGCCCCTTGGAGCTGAAGTCCTCCAAGAGCGACTCTTTCAGCTCCTCCGCCTCCACCTTCCGCACAAGTTTCAATAAAAGCGATTATACAACCCCATCCGACGCGACTCCCATACATACGACGTACAAGTCTGCTGAGCTCTCATTTCCCACTACTCCTACGACTCCTTCGACGATTTCCGGCATGGACGCTGTAGAACTTACCACAACCGAAGTCTGATTCGGTGATCTGATCCATTATTCACTTTCGTTACGTAATTATCTCACTTTGTACTACCCGCTTAAACAATGGCATTGTAACATAAACAAACCGGGAACAAACAATAGAACTTCGTTTATTTTTAATTCATGTAGTTACCAGACAATGTCGCGTCGTCCTTCTTCAAGTCGGCTTCATTAGACATCAAAAAAAGAAGAGTCAGTTTTTTTGGCTCCAAAGTACCCGCATTCGCACGATGTTATGGAATCATTGTCCAACCATTGTTCTTTGGCCCATTGTACTCTCTGCGCGACGACGAAAAATAACCATTATCAGCGACAATTACGCAACAATGGCCACATTACTCCCTGGTGGACAATAACCTTGGCACATCATTAGCTTGTTAACAGCGACAATGAGGCAACTAACTATGGCGTCCGCCCACCCTCGGATTGACGGTGGTAGAAGTTCTCTTCGACCACAAGAGCTGTCCGAGTCCCGGTCATAATGGAGCAGTCATCGCTCGAGCTTCATTACCATTTTATACTACCCTGATTCTGAATCAATAAGGTGATTTGGATAAATTACTTAGATACCCTCAGCCGTCGTTATGAATTATTTACGCACTGAGTTTATGTCAGTCATTACGATCTAGCGCGCCGCTGTGAGTGCTTGATAATATTCGCCTCGAAGGATAATAATATTGTACGAAATTTTCACTATTGTACAGAATAGGCGAAAACCGTAGATAAGGAGAGAGATAATGATGCAGACAAAGTCAAGGAGTGTGGTGCATTTGGAAAGATAATCTGAGTGGGTATACGATCGTCTCTCAGAGGGATCCACCACAAAATAATGCTAGCGTGATACAGCTGCGATGACAATATCGTTGGCGGCGGAGTTGAAAAGATAAACGCTGAGTACTCACTGGAGAGTGATGTGTGAAATCTGAACGAAATTGAGGATGAGAGGAGCCAAGTACAGAGAGGAGAAAAGGAGACTGAAAAGGGTTTTGAGATTTCGTGATAAACGATGATGAGCCAGACTTACCATGATTGTGGGCTGAGCCCGGGCTATGAGATGACGCAGAAAGCGCCTGTGTTCCCCGCATTGTATCGTTCTTGATCAATGGGTAGGTCACTGGAGATTGGTTGATGCGATGAACACGACGACGAAAAGTCTTCTTGAAAGGTGATGAAGTCGACGCTTTCGCAGAGAGATTCGAGGGATGTAAAGGAGTCCATTGGGGTTGGGGACGACGGGTTGTGAAAGCGAAGGTAAAGATGGGTCGCTCTTCGTGCAAGATGTGCTTATGCAAGGGGAGTTGTTTAGCTAAACGTTCAGAAGGACAGTGCTTTTAAGAGTCGCGATGGCCATTGTTCTACAAACAATGCGGGAATGGCTGATTTGGCCGAATGGCCATGAGGTTCCGATCCCTGCATTGTGGCTTTGTCCACCCACACGTTTACAGTCCACGGGAAAATAATTCCCGGATATACTCACCAGGCCACAGCATCAAGCCACGAAAGGCCGAAGGAAGAAATGGAGACAGGACCAAAAAGAGAGAAATTTGATCGTTCTGGTGGCCTGCAGCAAGTCAGTATCTAAATCAGGAAACGTAACAGCCCATTGTGACATGTCACAATGCGCCTTTGTCTGCGCATCAACCCGCATTGTTGTTGACCTTCTACAACCGTATTGAAGTATATAACGAGCTACGCTACAAAGATGGCCCAATCCCTCCACATCTTTGACTCGAACCTACGTGTACATTATGCTGCACCCTGAGCTACCAGTCGGCGCCTTCATCTCTGCCCTTCTCGTCCTCGTCCCCGTGCCCTGGCATTGGCGAGCTCGCAATGTTGCCACCCTCTCTATCAGCGCCTGGCTCTTTGTGTCCAACGTGATATATGGAACCAATGCGATTATCTGGGACCACAACGTCAAAATCGTCGTGCCCGTCTGGTGCGACATTGGTATGTCGTCTTCCACTTCACTTGCCCAGGTCGTTCTTTACTTACGCAACTCAGTTACGAAGCTACAAATCGGCGCGACCATGGCACTTCCTGCCTGTTGTCTTTGTCTATGCATTCATCTCGAAAGAATCGCGTCCGTTCGTGAGGTTGGCACTCAGAAGAGACTGCAGCGCCTCCGAAGGCTCTTCGATTTCTCGCTTTGTTGGCTGCTACCGATGGTTTATATGGCGCTTCGTAAGTCATGACTTTTCACATACTGAAATTTGCTTATTCAGGCCCCACCATTAGATTATGTCGTTCAAGGCCACCGCTATGACATTGTCGAAGATCTAGGCTGCCGTCCAGCGACATACAACTCCCTCCAATCCATTTTCTTGGTCTGGGTTCCACCTCTAATCGTCGTCGTGTTGACCTTGGTCTACGCTGGTAAGTTTCGAATTGTCGATCTTCCCCGCCTTCCGCTTATGTTCCATCAGGCCTCGCCCTCTACCATTTCTTTCAACGACGTATTACATTCGCCCGCCACCTTCAGAGTGGTGGTTCCGCCCTCACTACCAGCCGATACTTCCGCCTCATGGCGATGGCGATTGTCCAGATGTTCTGGGGAGCGCTTCTAATCGGAATCAACATGTGGTTCACATGCCGCAGTGGTCTCCGCCCATGGACCGGTTGGGCAGACGTCCACTCCAACTTCTCCCGCGTTGCCCTCTTTCCCACTCTCCTCATCCCCCCCTCTGTCCTCAGGTGGACTTACTTCCTCTGGTGGACCATCCCCATTTCCTCTGTGATTTTCTTCGCATTCTTTGCCTTCGGACAAGACGCTGTCAAGGAGTACGTCGCGTGCTTCAGATGGGTCCGCTCCAACCTTCTCAGGCAGAAGCAAGACGGCGCCGTTTTCAAGGGTATCAAGCAACCTTCATGGTGTGTATCTCGACTTGTTGCTTCAATCTGTCGACGCTTACGTGAGATCCTTCACTCAGGCCTGCTTCCACTTCTGTCAAAGTCCCCAAGTTCACTCCTTACTCTCCCTCACATTCTAAACACAAAGACGACCAATCGATTTACGACGCGTCTTCCATAGATAAGATGTCCTTCGTGATGACACCAACCTCCGAGGCATCATTCGCTCATACTGAGATAACGGATGTAACAGACAGCTCGACGCCGCCTGCGTACGTCTTGCCTCACACAGCGAATATGGCATGAACCTTTCCTTCGGTCATGACTTCTGTATTATTACGACCTTCGTTTATTCGTTTTACGCTCGCCACGCTCATTACGATCAGTCGCTCCTTCAAATTATATTTCTATTAGAAAAGATCATCCCTCGTCTCTGTATTTATCTACTTTCCGATTTACAGTTGATAAAGACTTCAAATTTGAAGATTCCGGACTGCCAGATTGAATGAGACTACGTTTTTCGAACCTCTCATAGGAGTAACTTTATCTTGTACTGGCCCTGGTCATATATAGCTCCTCGTAAACTTCGTCCTGAGATCATGCCATGCCACCATAGAGTTCAGCTCATTATAATATACAAGTAGTAATACATATCGTTATACACTGGCACTATCAATTAATTACTTCTTTCTAAATGTCCTATTGGCACGATGAAGACAATAAAAGCAAAGAGCACATGCAATACTTAGGAGTGGAATAATTTCATGAAGGGGACGATGTCGTAGTTTTGAGTGTATTGAGACCTGTGCGGGGGTGAGTGCAATGGTCGGGCACCAGTTTCTTACGGCTTGCGCCTCCGGTTTGTTGGTATCAGGAACGACTTGATTCTTTAGGGCGTCGCATGCGCGTGAGTAGGCTGGTTCGTGTATGTGTTAAAATCTGGCAGAGTGTTGGTCAAGCAATACTAACCTTGAACGTCTGCGAACGTCTCGTTGAGATAATTAGGGACCATGGACACCACATCGCCCGCTGCCTCCAAGACACATTGCAGACACTGATCCATATACGGAGGAGGGGCATTGTGACACATGCACGGAATGGTATCGCTACAACGCTGTGGTGGAAAGCAACCCTTAGATCTCGTTTAAATTCTTAGCGGGGTGACTTACGCGCTGCAGTTCGCGAATAGGCTGACAGGACAGAAAGCACTGGAGAAAGTAAGGGGGTTAATTTCGTAGAGAAAACGAGTCGTCTTGACATACAGGTTCGGGAATGGAGGGGATGGTCAGGTTAGTCCGGCAATGGACAGGGGAGTCATCCCGCGGCATAAGTGGTCGAAGGTAAAGGCCTGTACAGAAAGGTAATTAGAGCGACCGCCATTTGAAAGAGATTAAAGAAATACCTTGAACCGAGAGCGAGAAGATGAGCGATGTAATTAGAGGAAGATGTGCGTTTATCATCCTTGAACCTTCGGCTTTCCCGATTATCAACACTGCAGAGAGGCTGTTCGTGGTTTTGTTAGCGCCTTGGGGGGAGTATTCGACCACCATCATAATGTGATTCCTGTTCTTATTTGATTTGGTTTCTACCACGGCACAATGGTGGCTTATTGTGCTCGAGCTGCATTGTTTGCCAAAAGCGGAATCGTGGGAATATCATGGCATTAGTATGGCTGGGTCACGTGTGTTGGGGCACGCTCCTTGCGCTTACCCGGTCCCCAGCCCCCTTCTGGCTCACATAGCAGAGGACGTCGCCGACAACGATTGACTTACAATATCGGTCAATTTGTGACTAAGTGTCAAGTGAACGGCACTATAAAGATCGTGGTGTCTATCACATTTATTTGACATTTATTCGTTTCTCGCTGTTCCCAAGTTCAACGCGGAAAGCCCAGTGGAAGGCATGACAAGCTCGTCGATTTAGTCGGAACTTACTTGAGTGGTGTGGTTGTTTGGTGAGATAAACTACTGATGGCGACGGGCTCTGACGGGCTGCGATGTGGGCCTGGCCAAGGCAAGGTCAAGGTGGGAGCAGCAAAAAAATATTGTCAGGCCGCTGTCTGGCACGCATGTTTTGTGGATTTCCACACATGCACAGCATGTGTACAGGTAGGATAATAAGCGAAGTCACTGTAAAAATACACCTGACAATTACATAGTTCGCTACTAGTACAGGAGTACGGAATAATTGAGGCTACAACTTACAGGCAAGAGCCGGAGATAAACGAAGAAAGAAATCGAAAAAAAAAATTAAGGAGTGTGGTAAGTCTGAAAAGGGGGCGTTGGTTTTCCTTCACGCAGAGATAAACTGAGGCTGAACGTACGACAATGGGCACATAGTTGGTCAGAAATTGCATTTGATAGATAATCCATTGGTGATCGATGTGGGGGTTACCTGCCGTGAATAAGAAAAGATCGTCACGAATGGTATCAATTCAAACTCACGAAATTGTGCACCATATTGCGGGCCGATATTGTGAGTCCTCATCAAGAGGAATATCAGAGGGTATTGAGTCGTTGCCATTGCAGGCGTGCTCGGAGAGAGAGTCGGAGAATAGTGTTGTAAATTCATCCATTGAATTGAAGTGTTTCGGTGTGATATGGATAATGCGCGTGGAGCGGTCGCTGAAAGCGAAGGGTTGCGATGAGGTCAAGGCGAGGTCAAGGTGATGGTACGCGCGAACGAAGGTTGTTGGGCCAAAAAATGGGGGGCTGGGCTTTATAGTCGTAGATATGGCTCAGAAAGCCATTGTTTATGGCCCGGAATAAACCCGCATTGTTCTCCTGGCCACGAAGCCACTTGACCACATAGTGGGTTGTCGGCTTTGCCGGAAAAGGAAGAAGGGACAATGAGTCACGTTGTCACAAATGCGTTACATCAGTAGCCAACGTCACAAAGGCCAATGTTCCCCATTGTGCTCTGTGAAAGCATGGTGAGCAATAATAAAGAGATCATGTTCGCAATTTCTACCGCCCTCGCATCTTTCTTTCTCCTCCCAGCTACGACACATCCATAACGATGAGCCCTGCGCGCGATCCCACCTACCCGCTCTTCCCTGTCTTCTCCTTCATCGGTTTCGTCCTATGCTTGATCCCTTTGCCATGGCATCTCCACGCCTGGAACTCGGGCACTTGTGCGTTTATGATATGGACGGCTTTGTCGTGTCTCGTTGGCTTCGTGAACTCCATCGTCTGGAGTGGGAATGTGAACAACCCAGCGCCAATATGGTGTGACATTTGTGAGTCGCCTACTCCATCGTCGACGCGTTCTTTGCTGAGTATTGCCCCCTCAGCATCGAAAATCATTATTGGCGTCAGCATTGGTATCCCAGCAGCCACACTCTGCATCAGCCGTCGTCTTTACTCTCTGACTTCGGTTCGGACTGTCTCCATCACCCGCGACGATGTGAGTTTGAGATGAGACCTTCGGTAGACGAGCCACTGACCTTCTGCACGCAGAAACGACGGATGGTCATCATTGACCTATGCATTTCTCTAGGCTTTCCCGTGCTCATCATGATTCTTCGTATGTCGCGATCCTGCCGAGCTTGACGCCATGACTGACCATCATTTTCTAGATTATATCATTCAAGGACACCGCTTTGATATCCTGGAAGATATTGGCTGCTACCCTGTCGTTTACAATACCCTTCCTTCCTATTTCCTCTACTTCATGTGGCCAGTCTTTCTCGGCGTCGTCTCATTCTTCTATTCAGGTGCGTTCACCACGTATCTCCGTGTTCTGTTCCAGTATTCAACTCTTGTTCAGGTCTCACACTACGTGGCTTCTGGATGCGTCGTCTCCAATTCGCCCAACTTGTGACTTCAAACTCTTCCATGAACATGAGTCGTTACATCAGGCTTATGAGCTTATCTATCATCGACATGATGTGCACTGTACCCCTTGGAGTTTACTCCATTTACATTGGAAACAAGGGTGTCAAGTTGGCGCCATGGATTTCTTGGGAGGATACTCACTTTAACTTCTCCCGCGTTGGTGTGGTGCCTTCCCTCATCTGGCGCAGCGATCCGTCCTTCCAAACCTCTGTCGAGTTGACGCGGTGGTTGCCTGTCGTCTGCGCCTTTTTATTCTTCGCACTCTTCGGGTTTGCTGCAGAAGCACAGAAACACTACAAGATGATGTTCACTTTCGTCGCCAAACCCCTCGGATTCGGACAGCCTCCAAAGGTGCCGCCAAAGGCCGTTCTTCCGGGGTATGTCTCCCCCGTTCCTCGATGAGCCTCCTTGCTAACTTGCTCTCTATAGATGGGCCAAACCACTCTACACCGCGAAAAGTGGCCTGCACTCCCCATCGCAAGAGAAAGCCCGCCTCGGCTCCTTCACACCTTCTTTCGCAGACTCCCTGGAGCTCAGTGCGTACACCGAAACGGACGTCGAAAAGTCTGCTGGCCTACCGTCGCCTTCGTCCATGTGCAGTAGCGCTCCTCCATCATACTCTCGACCCCACCCAGTTCATGTCCCGGAAGACGTAGACGTGGAAACTGAGGGCAGCTACTACTCGCCATCGCCTTCTACCACTGCCACATTTGTGCATTCCCCATCTCCCATCACTCCCTCACACCCCATCCCTCTGCACATGATGTCATCACCCTCGCACACCCACACTCACTCGCTATCACAACCCGACTCCGTTGACGAGTCAAACCCAAAAGCAAAATCAAGCAACCCCTCTCTACGAACCGTAACCTCTCGAGACAGGTTCTACATCGTCGCTGAGGGCGGGACTTCACGAGCCCCCTCCCCAGCGCCCTTTGCGGATATGGTGGAATCGGAGGAGGCACGGTCCCTCTCTCCGCCGCTGAACCCGTACCCCTCCTTTGCGGATGCGGTTCAGGTGACGGTACATACGGTGTATCGCAGTACTGAGACGCTTTGATTTGATATCACGCCCTCACCTGTCTGCCACTCTGATTCTCGCTATCCTTATTATCCCTGCGCTTACGCTCACGTCAAAATCAAGACTTCATCCACATTCATATATCATGGCTTTACGCATCATCCACGTTGTCGTCGACTCACATCCACTCCTTCGTTTTTCGATTTTCGCTTGCATCTATCTACTTGATGATACATACATACGGTACATGTATTTTTAAACGCTCTTTACTCGTCGTCTGTTCCTTCTTTCGCATATTACATCTCATCAAATGAAGTTGGCGATTATCATCGTTTTGTACTTATCTATCTAAGTATTGCCATTGACAAAATATATGTTTTTATAGTGTACATTGGCGCTTGGTCGTGTCCGCATATTGCATCCGAACTTCTACATAACTGCGCCAGGCCGTCTTCCTATCTTGCTGCAAAATGTCCCAAAGGATGGAAGACTTTCCCAATGAGACTCTGTTGCACGTTTTCTCGTTCCTCCCTCTCAAGTCTCTCATAAATGGGCGAACCATATCCCAAGAGTGGAGGCGATTGATTCCACTTGCCGATATCAACCCAACTCGTCAAGCACTCCTTGACTTCTATCTGACTCTCATCGACTCACCGATATTTCTCCAAACCCGTCCTTGGGTTCTTGCGAACTTGGAACCTTTCAACCGCCAGCAATACATTGACGATCTGATAGATCAGCATCCATACGTACCAGAAGCTTTTCGGGTCTGGATTCTAGAATGGCCCGCGAAGGCAGTCATTGGTTGCAATTGGCCAGGTTTGCCCAACGTCCATGCGGGAAGAGATATTGCGGACAATGTCCACCGAATTGAAGGAAATAATTCGCTGGCACCACTACCTCCCACAATCTGTGCTCTGCCGTTCATGAACTACACTGCGGCCGCTCATTTCATCCCTGCCCTCTTCATCTTCCACGGCCAACAAAGTACCGTCTGGCTTATGCTGGACGAGCGAGAAAGTCTGCGTGATAAAGTTTATACTTTGGTCGAGGGCGGTAATAGTCTCTTCGATGAAAAGGGCGATTCGGACTGGGATATCATTGACGATAATTGGGTTGAATACCAAAAAAGGACGTGGGGTAGAATAGAGTTGTGGGCGAAGTGGAGAGCCGATAAAAACCTGCCGATCATGCGACTGGAAGATATGCCGCAAAATACGAGTTTTGGTGAAAGACCGATGTTCACGAAGTCATTCCGCCGTGGTGAACTTCAAGCGCACACTTGGCGGGAGAGGGATGAGCCTAATGTTCGACTAGATCTGTATTTCGCTGAGGTATGTTCTCTTGCCATACGTAGAGAAAGAACGGCTTTCTTATTGCCGTGGGTTTTCAGAACGATGTGCATTTGCCAGATCTGGGCGAGCGTATTGAGTACTAGTGCGATCTCTCCCCCGCCACTCGCTATGCCCGTAGTCTTAGTCCATTTGAGAAACATGACCCGAGTCTTCGATGACATCTTTTAGTCGCTACAAATCGAGATGAACGCCTTTATGAAGACGTCAGAACTTGAATTTAAATAGTTGCTGTAGTCATCGGACTTTCCAGTGGCATTTCCATATTATGCGAGTAATCGAGTGGAGGCAGGAGAGGGAGCAACGTCATATTGCAGGACAAAGATCGTCACGGGAGGCAGTCCTTGATGCCTGCCATTGGTTCCCACAACTCGGTGAATGTTGTCGTCCTAGTCTGCGATGTACCAGTGCACAGTACCAACAATGTGATGTTAATCCTTTCATTGGACGAGAAATCACAAGAAGACCACACTAGTACCGATACACTCGATCATTCTTTAAAACGACGACTTAAGTTCATGTTCGACGTGTGGTAAAGAACATACCCTAGAACCTAGAAAAATGCAAATCTAGCCGCACATGAGGCTCATCCCTCTCCCGCCAAGAGTGTTGAAGTTGACCACGGCGGAATGACTTCGTATACATTGGCATTTCAACATATCTCGGATCTGGCGGCGGCGGTATATCTTCCAGTCGAAGAATGGGGAGCTTTCCATGGGCTCTCTTCATCGCACCCCACTCTATGCAGAACCACAACCGTTTTTGGTAGTCGACCCAATTATTATCAATGTAACCCAGCAAACATCCACGATTACTGCACCCAACGGAGAGACTGCAAGCTCCTTCCATCACAATGTAAACTTTGTCTCGCAAACCGTCTCTCTCATCTAGCACAAGCCAGGCGATGTCTTCTCGGCCATGGAAGATGGACAGGACAGGGATGAAGTGAGCATCCGAACAGTTGTTCCTATGTGGCATGGCACAGATTGTGGGGGGTAGTGGTGCCAGCAGATTGTTTCCCTCATTTCGATGGACATGGTCCGCAGCCTCCGACGGACAGTAAACGTTGGGCAGACCTGGCCAAACGCAACCAATGACCGCCTTGGCGGGCCATTCTAAGATCCACATGCGAAAGGCTTCTGGGACGTATGGGTGTTGATCCAGAAGATCGTTGATGTATTGTTGGCGGTCGAAGGGCTGCAGGTTCGCTAGGACCCAAGGACGAGTTTGTGGAAATATTGGCGAGTCTACGAGATTCAAGTAGAAGTCAAGGAAAGATCGACGAATTGGGTTGATATCGGCGAGCGGTATCAGTCGCCTCCATTCCTGAGATACGGTTCGACCAATTATGAGAGATTTTAGAGGCAGGAACGAAAAGATTTGCAGGAGGATTTCGTTTGGAAAGTCTTTCATGCATGAACTGCAAGTGAGGGCCATGTATTTCGGAATTCCAACGTGTAGGCAAGCAGGGAGTTCCAAGGGAGTTCTAGGAACAGGAGCAGAATAATGAAACGCGTTGGAAGCTAATATTTGGCATTTGCGCTTGTACCAAACAAAACTCCCCTTCACGTAACAATCAAGCAGCAACACCAGTGCCTCAGCAACTACAATCAACGGCAAAAACCGAGCTCAACAATCCGTTGCAAATTTACAATGAAGTTGCCCCAAATCGGCCGTGTAAACAAGCATGAACTTCGAAATTCACCGTTCAATTGAAAGATCTCCCTCTCGATCTGCACCTGCAGATACTTAGCCTGGTGGATTTGCGAGATATCATTGCTTATAGGAAGGTTGTAATTTTATTCCCCACTTCTTTGACCTTACTGAAAAATGCCACATAGACCTGCAAGCTGTTCCTTTTCATCACGTCGCAACGAATCATTTGGGTTGATCTTCCCACCCGTGATTGCTCGAAGAACTCTGTTTTCAAACCCACATTGCCGATTGAGGAGATGTCTGTCATAGACCTCGAACAAGCTGTCTCCGTGCCGACTCGATGGTTAAGCGACACCATCCCACCCCCTCATGCCAGTGCACCGCAACAACCAGCTGCCAACTGCCAACTTGACGTCGTCTTTGATTTTGATTTTGCGATTACGGATGCCCCCATGCGGCCGAGGGGGTGAGGGAAACCAGCACGACAGGGGAAAATATCAGAGGTTAATCTGCGATCCCTTCCGAATCGCCCCTTTCATCGAAGAGACAATTACCGCCCTCGACCAAGTATAAAATTTGTCCCGCTTTGTTGGCCGTGAAAGATGAAGACGCTGAAGGAGCAGCTACTACCCTTCATCGCCATCCCCTTCTACTACTGCTACATCGTACATTCCTCATCGCCCACCACTCCCTCACACATCCCTCTGCCCACGATGTCATCACCCTCACACACCCACACTCGCTCGCTATCCCAACCCAACTCCGTTGACGAGCCAAACCCAGAAGCAAAGTCAAGCAACCCCTCTCTAGGAACCGTAACCTCCCGAGACAGGTTCTACATCGCGATCGTCGCTGAGGGCGGGACCTCACTCCCCAGCGCCCTTCGCGGACATGGTGGAATCGGAGGGGGCACGATCCCTCTTTCCGCCGCTGAACCCATACCCCTCTTTTGCTGATGCGATTCAGGTAACGGTCCATACGGTGTATGGCAGCATTGAGACGCTTTGATTTGATATCACACCCTCTGCCGCCTTGATGCTTGCTATCCTTATTATCCCCTGTGCCTATGCTCACGTCAAAATCAAGACTTTCATCTATCATGGCTTTAAGCATCATCCACGTTGACGTCGACTCTAATCCGCTCCTTGTTTCTTTCGTTTTTCGTTTTCTGCTAGCATCTATCTGCTTGATGATACAGTGCATGTATTTGTAAATGCTCTTTACTCGACGTCCGTTCCTTCTCTCGCATTACATCTCATCAGATGATATCGTCGTATCTATCCGATCTCCATCTACAGAATACATGTTTTTGGAGTGTACATTGAGAACATTTGCGACAGGATTTTGTCCGGAAAGTCAATGTACGACCACTAGCTCAGTACCAGTTATATAGAGCGTTGGGGGTGCAAGAGGACCTAATCCAGTAGCCACGCATACCCGATTAGTCCCAGTCCATCATATCAAAAACCTTCCTATTTCCAGTTCTGGGGATACGCTCTCCCACATCTCGCATATGGTCATCATCCTGCGTAATGACGACGTTGACTGAATAGGTGATGTCTGAAGTACTATGGGAGGGAAACATACCATAGAGAAGTACAAGTCCAATCGTACATTGGCTTCTTTCCTCTCCCGCCAAGTGTGCGCTTGAAGTTGACCGCGACGGAATGACTTTGTAAACACCACCCTTTCATGATGTTTCGTGTTTGGTGGTGGCATATCTTCCAGTCGAAGGATGGGCAAGTTTTGTTCCGCCCTTCTCTTTGCCCACAATTCCATTCTGCCCCACGTTCTCTTTTGCCATCCAATCCAGTCGTCGTCGATGATGTCATAGTCCTCTGACTCGCCTTCTTCGTCAAATAGGTCACTACCTCCTTGGGATAAAGTAAAAACTTTGTCACGTAAACTGTCTCGCTCGTCCAGCATAAGCCAGACGGTCTCTTGTAGGGCATGGAAGATGAAGAGGGCGGGGATGAAGTGAGCATTCGGGGTGTAGTTCAGATATGGCAGGGCACAAATTGTGGGAGGTAAAGGTGACAACAAGTTATTTCCCTCAATTCGGTGGACATAGTCCGCAGCCTTCCCTGTACAGTGGACATTAGGCAACCCCGGCCACACGCAACCAATTACCGCCTTGGCAGGCCATTCTAGAATCCAGACGCGAAAGGCTTCTGGAATAAATGGGTGCTGATCCATCAGGTCATCAATGTATTGTTGGCGGTCAAAGGGTTGTAGGTTCGCCAGGACCCAAGGGCGGGTTTGTGGAAATATAGGTGAGACGATGAGAGTCAGATAGAAGTCAAGGAGGGCTCGACGAATTGGGGTGATATCGGCAAGTGGAATCAATCGCCTCCATTCCTGAGAGACAGATCGGCCGGTTATGAGAGACTTGAGAGGGAGGAATGCAAAGACGTGGAATCGAATTTCGTTGGGAAAGTCTTTCATAGTGACTCTGGAACGCTACTGCAAATAAGTTGTGGGAAACGCCAGAATAGAAGAGCAAAATGTTGAATGGCACAACCGTTGCTTGCGATTGATGTAGATCGGAGGAAGAACCAAAAGTGTTTGGTTACCCCGTTATTTGTCCGTCTGTTTGTAGGTCCAGATAGGTGCCTGCACTTATACCAACTTCTGGGGGAAACGCCAGAATAGAAGAGCAAAATATTAAACGGCACAACCTTTGCTTGCGATTGACGGAGATCGGAGGAAGAACCGAAAAAGAACAAAAGCGGGATAAGTAGCGCAGCACGTTGTTTGGTTACCCCGTTATTTGTCCATCTGTTTGTAGGTCCAGATGGGTGCCTGCACTGATACCAACTTCAACCGCAAGATTTTGAAATACGGACTTTCTTTTTACTCGACCAACCGATAGATTTGCCTTATCAATCAGGCAACCGTCATGATCAATGAAAGCATGCATCGGTCAGCCCTGTTTTTTATTTATTGTTACAGTCGAAACCCTCGTAACCCATACCCTTCCGTGGACAGTCCAGCCTATGGGTTTTCAGAGGTTATGGGTTGGAGGGGGTGGGAAAAAAATAAGCGCTCAAAAAATCATGGAAATCTCGAGAAAATCTAATTTTCTTTGTTTGCTGGACTGGAAGTAAAACAATCAGCACCATTGGGGCAAGTCATCATTGATGTATTTCTATTCAACAGTGTTGACTTCGTGATTGAGTGAAGCTTGATCTGGGGAGGAGGGGCATTGCAAGTTGATTTCAGAGAATTTGGTGATCAGCAGGTCAATAAATTTGGTGTTGTGGTGGATTTTATTAATGTAGATAAAAATTTTATTAAGTGTCATGAAAAAACAGTGAAAAATGCGGGGTTCTATGACCATTTTTGGTAGGTATGACCCTATGTGATATAGGATTGGAAGGGAATGCCCAGAGGCCATAGTCAAACAGTGGTATATAGCTAGATTTGGATATCTTACATAATATATTGATCTTTTGTCTTGAACCACCATCTTGTCAGCAGTCTTGCCATCCTCTTGCACTACATGTAGTGCTTTGTGTATCTGTACTTCCTACAGTATGCATAATCATGTTGGGCCAGCTGAGTATCTTGTAACTGCTCATTGCTCACTCATGGGTGTTGATCCCAGATCCACCCATTCTTGCCTCCTCCTTCCCTCTTGGCTTCAGCTATGCGAGAAGTTCAGAGTGAACGCTTCACAATGGTGGGGGCACCGCGGACTTCACCAAAGCATGGTTGAAGTCTGCATTTCTTGGTAGAGGGAGAGCTGGAGAGTTGTGGGAATGCGCCAGCTCATCACAGGAGGAACCTTAGCATGGATGGTAGCTGCTGCTCGCGCTCTTCGCGGCGGGCTTACTACTTCATGTGAAAGGGCTCATCCATCCTTCAGTTGGATGAACCATTGACTTTAGCTTGTGCTTGCACAGCTGGTTGAGGTTTGTTCGATTGGGGTACTGCGCTGACTCTGAGCAGCTGGGCTTTGGGATTTCGCAAATACGCGGCCTGAAGTCTACTGTGAGGAGAGTTCCTACTCACCTATGTCTGGATTCCGCGACTACGCGACCATTGACTTGGTGAGGAGGTTGCCCACAACCAGTGTTGCCTGCTGCTTTGCGCTGCTTCACTGTCTCTCAGACTCCACCTGTTCCTCAACCATCTCCCTTATCTTTTAGCATCTAGGCCTCTCAAGAACAGCCAGATGTTCATTGACATCCCTCCAGTTCAGTCTGCTGCTCTGGAAATTATGTGCTATGCCCTACTATGCTTCTCTCCCAATCTTTCCTGTTTTCTTGCTTGAGGAATGAGTATTCTCATCCTCCTTACTTCTCTATGAACTCCCTGGAATGGCTCCTCTTGGTTTCTGAATGGTTAGAAGGGTTTGGAGTGGTTTTGGGTTGGATGGGGTTGATGGGACATCAACATGGGACTTATTCACATCATATCTCGCCAACCGACACCCCGATTGCTCTCGTCTTTTTTGCGCTGGGAAGCCCTCGTTCATACCTTTCTTTGGACCCCCTGAACTCGCCAAACGGTCGCGTATTGGCTGTGCTTCACCTACTTCAGCCTGGTATGACCAAAATGAACATATCTCGTCCGTTCTCGGCGAGATCCTCGTCGTTCCTTTTGTTCTTTGGCTCGTTTTGAAGCCACGGTTAATGCGCTTCTGGGGAGCCCTCATACGCGTCAAACGGACGAGTGGTTCCTGTGTCACAGCACCATCCCTCCAACAACCATTTGCATGTGACTTGTTCATGTCATATCTCGCCAACCGACGCCCCGTATCGCTCTCGTCTTTTTTGCGTTGGGAAGCCCCCGTTCACACCTTTCTTTCGACCCCCTGAACTCGCCAAACGGTCGCGTATTGGCTGCGCTTCGCCTACTTCAGCCTGGTATGACCAAAATGAACATATTTCGTCCGTTCTCGGCGAGATCCTCGTCGCCCCTTTCGTTCTTTGGCTCGTTTTGAAGCCACGGTTAATGCGCTTCTGGGAAGCCCTCATACGCGTCAAACGGACGAGTGGTTCTTGTGTCACAGCACCATCCCTCCAACAACCACTTACATGTGACTTGTTCATGTCATATCTCGCCAACCGACGCCCCGTATCGCTCTCGTCTCTTTTGCGCTGGGAAGCCCCCGTTCACACCTTTCTTTCGACCCCCTGAACTTGCCAAACGGTCACACATTGGCTGCGCTTCGCCTAGTTCAGCCTGGCATGGCCAACATGAACATATTTCGTTCGTTCTCGGCGAGATCTTCGTCGCCCCTTTCGTTCTTTGGTTTGTTTTGAAGCCACGGTTAATGCGCTTCTGGGAAGCCCTCATACGCATCAAACGGACAAGCTGTTCTTGCGTTACAGCATCATCTCTCCAACAACCATTTCCCCATTCCTATTGTCATAACCTGCTCGCATCGGACGTTCTATAGCCCGTTTTGAACATTGGATTCGTACCTTTCCGACGCACCTATTTACGTCGATAACGAACGACAGCCTGGTCTGCAGTATGCATTTACTCCAGAACTGCAGTTTCTGGGTATTACCTCTCTATCTCAACAACCACGGCTCGTCACAATATGCGAATTATACTGTTGGAAAGGCGTCGTTCGTAGCTTTCGAACGGGTATTTGATCTCCAGGAACGGGCCAGAAATCACTATGCTATGCTCAAACACATTTTTGGCTACCTCAGGATCTCCCCTCTATTTGGGGTGTTAAGACTTGATTGGAGGACTCTTATGGGCAGGGGAGACACCTCAACTGGTTGAGAGTTGCTGCTCGCACATTACGCGGCGGACTCTTCTTCAGTCATGGTAACCTTCTGGCTCTCTCAGAAGGCTGATTGCTGCTCGCACATTTCGCGGCGGATCAGTGTGGAGGAGTTGCAGCTCGCGCATTACGCGGCGGACTCTTCTTCAATCATGGTAACCTTCTGAGTCCCTCAGAAGTACTGATTGCTGCTCGCGAGTTACGCGGCGGATCAGTGTTGAGGAGTTGCTGCTCGCGCATTACGCGGCGGACTCTTCTTCAATCATGGTAACCTTCTGGCTCCTGATTGCAGCTCGCATGTTTTGCGGCGGATCAGTGTTGAGGAGTTGCTGCTCGCACATTATGCGGCGGACTCTTCTTCAATCATGGTAACCTTATAGATTGCTGCTTGTGTGTTGCATGGCCTGTGTCCACTCTGGGGGGCAAGATTTATGACAACATTTTTTTTTCTCTCCCCCTTTCCTTCAACCTCTCATCATTCCTACCCAACTGGCACCACCTCTACCTACTCTAACACCAACTTAGGATCACGGCTTGTAATTTTCCACTGCACGATCTCTTCGCCTCTATCCTCCCTGGCTTGATTCTTGAGATTCGCACACTGGAAAAGTGGGGGGCTGTATGGGAGTATAGGTGGAATATGGGAGGAGAGGCGCAAGCCTCTATCCCATTACACACTCCCCACATCTAGATCACACACCACAATGGAAGCAAGCTACATCATCTTGATGGGTAGAGGGAGTTGAGTTGGGATCAACAATCTGACTGGAGAGGCGCAAGCCTCTATCACACTATACATGCCTTGTACCCAGACCACAAGTATGATGGAAGCATGCTACACCATCTTGATGGGGAAAGGCAATGGAGTTGGGATGGATGACCTGGAAGCCATCCACTTGCATGGTTTCCCAGTACTCATGGTTATACATCACTGAGGGGAGAATGGGAGGATCATATGGGTATATCTGGGGTAAGCTGGGAGCTTGCAGTGACCAGCTTTCCAGATAGGAAATTATTTGGGGCCAAATTTTTTTTTCTTTCTTTTATTCATCTTCTTTGCTTTGCTACCTTTTGGTCTCATTTTATCCTGATATTCACTCTGGGGGGCAAGAGGATTTCTATTCTATTATTCTTCCCCACCATTGTTTTCCTTACATGCCCTCTGGACATTGGGGGGCTTTGTGATATAGGATTGGAAGGGAATGCCCAGAGGCCATAGTCAAACAGTGGTATATAGCTAGATGTGGATATCTTACATAATATATTGATCTTTTGTCTTGAACCACCATCTTGTCAGCAGTCTTGCCATCCTCTTGCACTACATGTAGTGCTTTGTGTATCTGTACTTCCTACAGTATGCATAATCATGTTGGGCCAGCTGAGTATCTTGTAACTGCTCATTGCTCACTCATGGGTGTTGATCCCAGATCCACCCATTCTTGCCTCCTCCTTCCCTCTTGGCTTCACCTATGCGAGAAGTTCAGAGTGAACGCTTCACACCCTAACTTAGGGTCCAAAAACCTATGGGTTTTGCCCACGAAGGGCTATGGGTTATGGATTATCACGGACTTATGGGTTATGGTATGCAAATCCCCGCCCACCAACTTGGTGGATCCAAAATGGCATGGGATTTCAGGGGTTATGGGTTATCTGATGCATGGGTTACGAGGGTTTCGACTGTACCAGTGAAAGACACGGAAACTCTTACAACTGTTGCTTGCGATTGATGGGAATCGGAGGAAGAACCAAGAGGGAACAAAGGTAAATCAAAATCAAAATCAAACGGGATAACGACCTGCATGTTGTTTGGTGCTGTTCCAATACTTATCCTGTTAATTTGTGGGTCCAGATGGGTCAGTGTATACAAAAAGTAACACACTCCCCAAATCGGGTCAGTGACACATAGGGTCACAAAGCGACACATTGGGTAAATAAACGACACATTTGTGTGCAATGTGTCACCAATTCATGTGTAGTGTGTCGACAATTGAATATTGTCAACACACCCCGATGTGGACCATTTGTTCAAAAATTATTCTAAGTTCAAAATTTCTGTACTCATGTAATTAACAGTGTAGATTTTATAGACAACTTATGATACAGGAAGGGAGGCTATCTACATTAGGAGACAGCCCCTCCTCCTCAAGAACGGTAGGGGCCCCTACGATGTCTATGCGGGTTCCTACGATGTCTATGCGGGTTCCTACGATGTCTATGCGGGTTCCTACCTGATCCTCGCCGTCTGCCGTTCACTCGCATCGGGCTGTACACGCTGGTGTTTGGCTCGAAACAGAGCTTTCGGCCCTACACATTGGTGTTGGGGTCGTACATCCGGCATTGGGTTAGAGAGGTCGGCATTGGTCGTACACACTGGCGTTGGGCTCAAAATGTCGGTGTTCGGTTGTATATGCTGGTAATGGGCTCAAAACAGAGGTTACGCGTTGGCGTTGGGTTCGAGACGTCGGAGCTGGTTGTTCACACTGGCGTTTGGCTCGACATGTCGGTGTCGATTCGTAGATGATGGCGTTGAGTCGTGTTGGGTTGGTGTCTCAACAGTTGTGCCGTTTGTTCCTACTAATATGGGTTATGTGAGGTGGGTCTGTGGGGGAGAGAGCGGGGGTGGAGGATGGGGGCAGACTGGGGAATCGTTGACGGTGCTATTGACCGTTTGTGGATCATGGTCGTTGGCGCCCATGGCTGTTTGTCGAATGTGGTGATGAGCCCCCGTGGCCGTTCGTCGTGGTGGGCACCCATGGCCGCTCGACGATCGTGGTTGTGGGCGGTCGTAGCCATTCATCGATACTGGTGGTGGCCCCGTGGACGTTAGTGGGCACTCGTCGTCGTCCGTCGATCCTGGTGGTGGGCCCTTGTGGCTATTCGTCAATGGTGGGGGTGGGCCCTCCTGGCTGTTCGTGGGGGGTCGTCGCCGTTCCTCAATTGTAGTGGTGGGTCCTCGTGGCCAATTGTCGATGGTCGTGGTGGACGATGAGAAGAGACTGGTGACGTGTGACAGCGCGTTTGTCACCTCACCCAATTGGGATGTGTCCAACTGTGTCGCACAAGTGTCGCACGTCCTCGCCACTGTGTCGAGGATGAGCCTTATCCCCTTTTGGGGAGTGTGACGCTCTACGTATATCCTCCAGATGGGTGCCCACACTTACAGACTATACCAACCCACGAAGTTCGACTTTTTGTTTACTCGGTCAGCAGATAGCTTGGCCTTATCAATCAGGCAACTGTCGTACTCATGCGTCGGTCAGCCCTGTGTTTTTTTTTTTTTTTTTTTTTTTTCAGTGAAACACGCCGAAATCCTTGTCTTCATCTTAACCTCAGCTCGTTGAAGAAATTCAAGCCTTATTCCGTTTTTACTCCATGATTCTCAAAATTTGTTTAAAAGGATGAAACTAGAACGAGAATCAACATCTGCTGTCATCCGATAAAATTCCTCTATCACTCTGTCCCTCTTCAACAATGTCTTCGCTTACCCGTGAGTTTAAACCCACCATCCATAGCGCTTATTCATTTCATCCAACTATACTGATGTCATGATCCCATAGCACAATATTTGGACGGATTGATTTTCAAATGGCGTCAATTCATACCTCCAAACGTCCCTCAGAACCGAGACAGCCTAGCAGCTTTTGCGTACAGCTTGGAATACCCTGGAATGGTGTTACAGCTCGGGCCTGAGGGATACATCACCCCTGAAGTCCGCCTGGACAATTTTGCGGAAGCTCACCGGCTGGCTGCGGGCAACCACCCTAATCGTGCTCCAAACGCCTATTCGGTTGCGTATTCAAAAACCCATACCAGCGCAATCCAACATGCATATGGTACTTCTGCTCTGCACGGCAGAACCCACCCCCCCCTTACATCAGAAGAGGATCAAGAGTTGAAGAATTATCGTAATCAACAAGCATTCACATACTTCAATATGCCAGTTCCAGCATCACTGATGGATTACCCAATTACTCAATGTGCTGAGTACATGAGTTTACCGCCAGTATTGCAGGCAGCAACGGAGGTAGTTGGATCTGTCCAAGTCACAATGGTAATGATTCACAGAAAAAACGAGAAAGATATGCCTATGTGCCTAAACTGTCAAGCCTACGCATGATCGGCGGTTAACAGGCAAGCTGGACTTGTGATAATAGACGGTGTGAATGATAAAGCAGGGCATTCAGTAGATACCCAATGGGACCATAGTAGTTCACATGGTCAATTGTCCAATGTACCATAGGGCTACCCCAATGGGCCCAATCGTAGTTGGCACCATTTGGGCATAGTTTGGCCCAATGTCTGTGAGACGTTAAGCTGGCATTGTTGGGGCCAAGGTAACAAAACTATGAGAAGCATAATTGGGCCCAATGAGGGATACACAAAAAGAATTGGGCCCATGATAAACTCCCAACAGCCAAGGTTGGGCCCAATATGTAATTAGGCTATATTGCATTGTTGGGCCCAATGCTCGGTGTAACAAATGCGGAATCCAGCAGAACCATAACCCTAGCCCTGGTAATCCCTGTCTAGCCGAAATCCAGTCGGATGACATCGCCTCCAGCACAAAATGGGATACACTTTGCAAATACTGTCAGTAGCACACAGGTAGGCCATAAATCAATATTTCCATATCGGCCTAGAATCCTGTTAATCACTTGAATTGATTTCGGGTAATAGATAATAGCCGGACATGTGACAGCCACTCTGTATGCAGGGATAGCATGAGGCATGCTGTATAAAGGACACTTTCTTTGCATTTAAAGGTCAATACCTCCTGGAATATTGTGTTGCCTCCTGGAGTGCACTCAGTACATGTTAAAACAGAAGATTTCATTGGCTGGTTGTGCCGAAATCCCTCCGGAAATATTGTGTTGCCTCCCAAAAACTATGTGCACTCAATAGATATTAAAACCGAAGATTTCTTCAGCTGGTAGTGCCGAAGTACCTCCGGGAATATTGTGTTGCCTCTTGGAGACTATGTGCACTCAACACATGTTAAAACCGAAGATTTCATCGGCTGGTTGAGCCGAAATCCCTCTGGAAATATTGTGTTGCCTCCCAAAGACTATGTGCACTCAATAGATATTAAAACCGAAGATTTCGTTGGCTGGTAGTGCCGAAGTACCTCCGGAAATATGGTGTTGCCTCTCAAAGAATATATGCACTCAACACGTGTTAAAACCGCAGATTTCGTCGGCTCGTAGTGCCGAAGTACCTCCGGGAATATTGTGTTGCCTCTTGGAGACTATGTGCAGTCAATACATATTAAATCCGAAAATTTTGTCAGCTGGTAGTGCCGAAATACCTCCAGAAATATTGTTTTGCCTCCCCGAAAATATGTGCATTTAATACATGTCAAAACCGAAGATTTTGTCAGCTGGTAGTGCCGAAGTACTCCCGGAAATATTGTGATTTTGTCAGCTGGTAGTGCCGAAGTACCTCTGGAAATATTGTGTTGCCTCTCGGAGAATATGTGCATTCAACACATGTTCAAACCGAAGATTTTGTCGGCTGGTAGTGCCGAAGTACCTCCGGAAATATTGTGTTGGCTCTCTGAGAATATGTGCACTCAACACATGTTAAAACCGAAGATTTCCTCGGCTCGTAGTGCCGAAGTACCTCCAGGAATATTGTGTGGCCTCCCAGAAAATATGTGCATTCATTACATGTTAAAACCGAAGATTTCATGGGCTGGTAGTGCCGAAATATCTCCGGAAATATTGTGTTGCCTCCCAAAGACTATGTGTAGTCAATAGATATCAAAGCCGAAGATGTCGTTGGCTGGTAGTGCCGAAGTACCTCCGGGACTATTGTGTTGCCTCCCAGAAAATATCTGCATTCATTAGATATTAACACCGAGGATTTCGTCGGCTGGTAGTGCCGAAGTACCTCCGGAAATATTGTGTTGCCTCTCTGAGAATATGTGCACTCAACACATGTTAAAACCGAAGATTTCATCGGCTGGTAGTGCCGAAGTACCTCCGGAAATATTGTGTTGCCTCCCAAAGACTATGTGCACTCAATAGATGTTAAAACCGAAGATTTCGTCGGCTGGTTGTGCCGAAATCCCTCTGGAAATATTGTATTGCCTCCCAAAGACTATGTGCACTCAACAGATGTTAACACTGAAGATTTCGTCGGCTGGTAGTGCCGAAGTACCTCCGGAAATATTGTGTTGCCTCCCAGAGAATATGTGCACTCAACACATGTTAAAACCGAAGATTTCGTCAGCTGGTAGTGCCGAAGTACCTCCGGAAATATTGTGTTGCCTCTTAAAAATATGTGCACTCAACACATGTTAAAACCGAAGATTTCGTTGGCTTGTAGTGCCGAAATCCCTCTGGAAATATTGTATTGCCTCCCAAAGACTATGTGCACTCAATAGATATTAACACCGAGGATTTCGTCGGCTGGTAGTGCCGAAGTACCTCCGGAAATATTGTGTTGGCTCTCTGAGAATATGTGCACTCAACACATGTTAAAACCGAAGATTTCATCGGCTGGTAGTGCCGAAGTACCTCCGGAAATATTGTGTTGCCTCTTGGAGACTATGTGCACTCAACACATGTCAAAACCGAAAATTTCGTTGGCTGGTTGTGCCGAAATCCCTCTGGAAATATTGTATTGCCTCCCAAAGACTATGTGCACTCAATAGATATTAACACTGAGGATTTTGTCAGCTGGTAGTGCCGAAGTACTCCCGGAAATATTGTGATTTTGTCAGCTGGTAGTGCCGAAGTACCTCTGGAAATATTGTGTTGCCTCTCCAAGAATATGTGCACTCAGCACATGTTAAAACCGAGGATTTCGTCAGCTCATGGTGCCGAAGTACCTCCAGGAATATTGTGCGGCCTCTCAGAAAATATGTGCACTCAACAAATATTAGAATCGAAGATTTCGTTGGCTGGTAGTGCCGAAATCCCTCTGGAAATATTGTATTGCCTCCCAAAGACTATGTGCACTCAATAGATATTAACACCGAGGATTTCGTCGGCTGGTAGTGCCGAAGTACCTCCGGAAATATTGTGTTGGCTCTCTGAGAATATGT